CTGTCGCGTCCGCGGATGCGCATTCGACAATACGGCCATTGCGCCGTGCCACGAAGTAGATATCGGCATTGTATATCTCGTTGAGCTTCCTCAGCTTCATATAGTGTCTTGATCAGTCTCTGGTAGTTGTTGTTCGCGGTTCTTCTAGCCTTGGCGCGGGCCAGTTTCTGCGCCTGCTGCTGAGATGCCATGGAGATGGAACGGCGAATGAAGCAGAGGTCTCAAATGTCGGGTCCTCTCCTGTACGGGCAACGACAGCAGGCCGCGCGGATGTAATGGTGGAGTGGAGTCTCGACTTGTCCCAACAGTCTGCTTCAAGCTGTAGGAGGCGAAGGGCGGTCGGCTGATAAGCTGGTAACGCGCAGTGTCGCTACGGTCGCATACAGCACTGTCCCACAGTGCACTTTAGTGCTCTACGGTGGTCGCTGTCGGTCAAGGATTCATAGTACACATGTGGTGGTATAGCCTGTAGCACGGCGATGCTGAGTAAGATTTAGTGTGATGACGGGCAGAGTGATCCCTGAGAGCCCCATGTGGCATGTTGCCGAGTGGTTTGACCTGCTTGTCAATGTAGAATGATCCGCAATTAGCATTGGCTGTCTTTTGGTGTGTAGTGGACCAAATACAGCCCGGCGCTAAACGAGCGCTTGAGTACATTGGTGTCCATTGTCATTGCCTAGTGGAGCTGGTAAGTTTAGTCGGGCAAGCTTCTAGACTTATTTTTGTTTGAAGACGAAAGTAGGCGTTCGCACCGCTTCTGGCCCTGAGATTAAGTAGAGCTGGAGAGTCCATAGCACCCATAGCACCCCATAGCATCCATAGCATCCATCCTCGGGATAGCTCCCATTCCCTGAGCCACACCGACCCGACAGACTCCACCAGACCAAGGCCCTCAACTGCTTGCAGACACGCACACCAGCACAATGTGCATCGTCAACGTCCTCGTTATCTTCCGACGAAGTGCTCCCACGGTAATCAGCGGATGCAAGGCCCGCAACGCCAGACGGGTGACACGTATGGAGAGTGGGACTCGGGACGGCGCAGCAAGCAACTGCAGTAATGGTTATCAATCACAAACCTCGCCTGAAAAGGCCGGTGGACGAGTTCGAGTCCTCTGTCTGAGCCCGTGATCCTAAGCCCTGCAGAAACACGCTCGGTAGAGTGACGGTGGTGGGCTGGCCTTCAGGCGTAGATATAGAGTACCGATCGGGATTGGTGCAAGAGAAACATACAGGGCGTTACGACGAAGACAATATATCCATTCCTCGCAAAGGCGCTACGACGTGAAGGGGCTTTTTTTAAAGTACTTCTTTCTTCCTGACACCCCTGCCTTTGCTGTGCTCATGGCTCCTCTGTGAATCGTTCCTCCACTGCTCTCATGCATCTGCTCTTCCTTTGAGGCCCGAGCGGCGGCAGACCCGCCTACCAAGATCTAAGCTGATGCGGAAGCAACTAGGCGGTAGATCCTCTGATGGCTTCCAGGCAGTGATCTAATTGACTGACTAGCACCCGACTGGATTTGATGGACTGGGATTTGGATGGACTGGATTTGGATGGACTGGATTTGGCTGGACTGGATCCGAGTTTGAGAATTGGACCGGACTGATCGAGAGGTCTGGAGGCTCCTGACAGCCAATGACTCATGCCTAATTGAAAGCAACTTAACCTACTAAGGAAGAGTGAGTCACATCTCGGCGTTCTTTGCTTCAGGGTACGCTTTACCCCAGAAGTGTTCTCAGAAGGAGTTCATCTTAGTCCAATGACTTCCTAATAGCATTCAATAATGAATCTGGCAGGCCAAAGGGACCTAAGCAACTTAAGATGTTAAAAATGGTATGAACTCACTCAGCGGCGGCAGACATCCTAAAATGGCCGCATCAACAATTACTCAGTTCTTCGCTCGCTCTTCCTCCAAGACTCGAGTCTGATAATATTATTCTTGCCCCTGAATCTATTAACCCTGGTTCCAGAAGCTCTAATCCAGCCAGATGAGTTTACGCTCCAGGGGAGCAGTATATCCATGTGCGGTGCTGAAGGGCCCTAAAGCAACAAAGAAGGAACGTCGGTGATCTGATAAGCAGTGAAGATCTACAGGCCAAAAAGATGGGAGACGTGTATGGTATTGCTACCTCTGGTAAACAGCGCCGTCAGCAAGAGCTTCCAGCAGTGTCAATGGCAATTCTGCAGCAGCGCCTCGACCACCTCGACCTTTCGACACATAAGATCGATAAGGTTACCGGCGAAAAGTAACCTTCCGAGGAGACCAGGATATTGAGCCAGCCGTCGATATCCGACTACCAGGACATGAAGTCAATCGTCTTCGCCCGCCGCTTAGATCGGTTTAAAGAACTCCTAATCCGCTGGCTGGTCTGCTGCCATATCGCTTTCTTCCAGATTGAAATGGCTACTTCGGGACTTCTTTATCTATTTCCTTTAGCGAACCTACTTCCAAAGCCGCATCTACCATTCGTCAATGGGTGATTAGTGCATTCAAGGAGAGGAAGGAGAGATTAGACACGACATGCATGACGCTCGGAGTTCCCATTTCGTTATCGTTCGATCTTTGACGTCGCCGAATCACCTCGCTGTGCTTGGAGTAGTGGCACATTTTATCGATAATACCGGAACACGTCGAACTGCCGTGTTAGCGCTACGTGAGATAGAAGGGGAACACTCAGGAGAAAATATCGCCGATGTCCTTTTGCAGGTGATGAAAGATTACAAGATTACTGGCCAGATCGGCTACTTTATGGCAGACAACGCGTCCACTAATGACACCTGTATCAATTCCGTCCTTCAAGCCCTCTACCCAAATTTGTCAGAGAAGCAGCGAAGGCGCCGGCGCCTCCGCTGCTTTGGGCATATCGTGAACCTATGTGCGTAGGCTTTTCTCATCGGAAAGGACGCTGAAAAAGTCTGTAAAGATCTGGACGCGGCGTATAGGGAGGGTGATATGAAGAGAATTAAGGAGCTCTGGCGGAAGCGCGGCGCTATCGGAAAGCTTCATAATATTATTCGATATATACGAGCAAGCCCTCAGCGCCGTCAGTTCTTTAGATCAATTATATGTGGAGGGGAGCTATCAGAGTTTTTACAGCTTAGAGGGAGCTGGCACTCCGTTAGGCGGAAATTAGAGCCACTACGCTCTAGATTATTCAGAGCCAACAGACGCGCTGGAATTCATACTTTACCTCGATCGGTAGAGCTCTAAACGTGAAGGAGCGAATTCAGATCTTCTGTGACCAGTACGAGGCTGGCCAGGGCCAGATAACCCTCATTCAAGACCGCCTTTCTAAGCAACAAAGTGGAGGAACTTGCGCACTCACGACCAGCTTGAGACGTTCTAAGGATGGAACCCTATCTACGGAAGGCAGGGCGTCAACACTAGCGGATCACTTTCTCAGACGCTTGACTGGCTTGCTAGATGAGATTCAGCAGGCTAAGATTAAATTTGAAGAGCTCCACAAAGAGGCGGTTCTGAAGAAACATGGCCGTAGAGCTCTTGCAACTGAAGCAGATGACTTCGCGTTTGCCGCTGCAGCTGAAGTTTCCTGGAGTAAGGCCGAGGAATACTTCAAAAAGCGATAATACGCCAGCATACTATACCGCCATTTCTCTAAATCCAACTCTTAAACATCAGTGGTACATCGAGACCGACGGACGAAGTTAGGCGGCCATGCATTTTAACCGTGAAAGAGCTTGTTAAGGAGTTCTGGTTAGAAGAGTATCGGGAGGTGATACCTACCAAGAGGCGCTCACCCCAGCCCTAACGCCAGCTGTTCCGGCTAAGAAAGAGAAGGCTTGCAGCTATTAAAAGCCATAAGCGGCTTAAGCTCCGCCATGAGGCATCAGCACCTGAAATACCCGCTATCGATCTCCTCGATCAGTTTCTTTGAGAAAGACGTCATCCGGCTCGATGAACATGACTCAGTTTGACGTTATCCAGTACTGGAATGATCAAGCTACTACTCGCAACCTGATCTATACGTATGGCTCGACGTACTAGCTGTTCCACCAATGTCCGATGAGTGTGAGAGGCTATTCAGCAGCGCAAAGATGCTGCTTACCGACCGGCGCTCGAGGCTCAAGATGGATATTATCGAAGCTAGTGAGTGCCTTCGATCGTGGTATGGACCACCTACACGGAATACTTTCGACGACGAAGGCATCGGGAGACTAGAAGGTGAGCCTGACCCTCAGGAAACTGGGCAGCAGGGTGGGGGTGATGCTGATACCGAAATGGACAGCGCGGAACTTCGATCGTGGACCAAGACGACCTTCTGGACGAGGACGATATTGATGGAACCAGTATGGACATTGTGGATGTCCATGACGCAGTATATAGTGTAGAATAAATGTGTATTCGGCCACTAGACTGGCCTTTTCCATTGAAAAAGGTTACTTACTAAGCAATTGTGAGAACTGGATTTGCACTGGCGCTCCAGGAGTCCCAGAGCCCTTGCACTGGACTGGACTGGATCCGAACCCTGAATCCAGTCCAGTCCAGTCCAACAAGATCACTGGGCTTCCCTCCATGCAAATGGCGGCAGTACTTGGTGCCGAATCGTGCTTACGCACAGTTCCACCTATGCTACGCTTGCATAGGCTCAGTAGTCTACATGTGAAGCAGTGTCAACGTCCTAGCTTCCAATTCTCCAATTGCCACTTGGTCGAAGCATGGAGTCGGATCCCTGGGGCCTCGCTAAAGGTCGTGCAGCAGCCACAGCCACTAGTGCTGGCGAAATCTGACCCCTGAACTGCAGCGGCGCAAACTGCCAGGATCCGCATGGAGACGTACATACACAGCCGTTGATATTGTTCGAACTTGCCTGTTGAATGACTAGGTATCATCATGCAAGATCAAAAGGGACACGAGAGGTCGTGATACATGTCAGAATTTGCTATCCAAGGTCTATATGGGTAACTCTCAGTACTAGACACACGTGCCGTGATGCACCCTCCCTTCACGAGCACCAGAGCCCACCTGGATCGTATGTTGATCACATCTTGGGCTGTGCCGCCAGCTTGGCTAGCAGATCATCAACTTGTTTCTGCAAGTCGGCCTTCTCTGCCTCCAGCTGCGTCGTCTTCTTTGGCTTCTCTTTGGGTACGTGTACGTTCTCTCCGATCAAGTCGCCGTTGTGGTCACGTTTCATGCCCTTCTTCTCGAGCATTTTCACGACTTCGGGTACCAGTTTTTCGAATTCCTTGACATATGTGATGCCATCGTGCTCACATGCGAGGTGGACGTTTCCTGATTTCCAGTATTCGTCTCCGCAGCAAACGACAACCTTATCGGATGCAGCCCAGCGACCTAGCTCGAGCAAAGACACCGGGCTCTTGGTCTCGGTGTCGAAGAAGAAACATATGACGTCTGCTTGCTCTAGTGCATCTCGCTCCCAGTCGACTTGTTGTTTGAAGAATTCGTCTTTGGCCTGTTGTGTAATGTTTTTATCCCATTCGCCTTTCCGGGGGTTGCATACAGTGATCGGCAAGTGATGAAGGAGGGTTGCCATCAGCGGCTGCCAGTTGACTGCGCCGCCCATCTCTATGCTGCCAGCGGTAAAGACGGTGAACTTGCGGTATATAGGTAGCTCTGGGGGGAGTACATTCTATGAAATCTTTGTGCGGTGTTGGTTCTGGTGATGGCCAGGGTGGAAGTTGGTGTTTCTTGTCTTCGACCGTTTCTGTGACACTCGTTCGGCCGGAGTCGGAACTAGACGGAAGCATATCAAAAACTGACCTTAGGCCCCTGTTGTGTGTTCGTGGTCGTGTGAAGAGATTGCGTGATGGAGTTGTGCAGAGCTGGAGACTATATCGCTGTGACTGCGAACGAGCGGTCGCTTATGAAGGGCAGCAGTGCCTGGCGCCTCAGGTTCAAGGCTGACGGCAAGGCGAAAGCTGAAGGGATAGCGGTTTCGACGCTAACCCGATATCTGTGAACAGGCATCCAAGCCTCATTACAGTACGACGATACATAATGCCGTGGCTGTGCGTTTGTCTGATTCGTACGCAACGTCCGAAAGCTATGTACCCTAGCAAGAGCGATGAATAGACTAGGTTCGCCGTCCCGAGAGGTGTCTTTTCCGATAGAGCAAGTGGGGCTACAACGTCGGAGGTTAGCATATCACTACTGTATTGTGGCGCCTGCAGCTCAAGAGTCTTCTCTGCAACCTATTGATTCAGCACTTAGCCCATAGATTGGAAACTGTCTACGTCGAAGACGAGCATGACGCTACTGTAATCGTTGTAGAGGCGATGTCCACGATGCCGTGGCGATTGCGACAAGCAGGAGGACGAGTGATGAATCGCTCATGCATTACGACCAGGCGGGGAATACCGCAGCGCGCGATTTCTCGAATGTCCTTTGAAGCTGACCACTCCGTGTATTGTAAGCAATGCTCGACCCGAGGCTGACAGTGCATCTCACAACGCGATGCCACTGTTTGGACCCAGCTACGCAGGGGTGCGTTGCCTGAATAGGATGCTGCAGGTGGGATGGTGCCTTCCTCGCATGTATGTGTTTCGAAGACTGGTCTGCATGAGCCGCAGCGGCATATGGTCTGTACCTGTGTATTTCGGTGCTGATGGCGAGACTAGCGCCCACGAACAATCTGAGACACTCGTGCTGGTCCACTTGGACGAGTGGTCTGCTGATAGTGCCCCAAGCCACTCGGGAAAGTTATGCGCATGACTTGGCAGGGTTGACGAGCTGCTGACCAACGACTCAGCTGTCCACGAGTGGTTTGACGCCTATCCATGGTTGTGTAGGAGGCTCTGCCTATGTGTGCACACTGCCAGCAATGTGCAGTACAGTACAGTACTGTCGGTGCTCACAGCAGTAGGGGTTCGCTCGCTGGGAGTGGGTAGGACGTGCATCGGCTCAGCACCCACCAGCCGGATGTGGTGGAGCATTTCTTCCGAGTGTACTGTACTGTTGCTTGATGTACAGTATGAGCAAGCGACAAGACCGTCTCATGCCCTGGCTGCCAAACTTACTAAAGGAGGCTCTGGTCTTGGTCGCGGGCTGCCTTCTCTCCTAGCTTACGACCCTCGTGTTTCGGTGTTTGTAGTCAAATTGAGCAGTCGATATGACACGGTCGCTGACGACAGAAGGCAGCAAGTATGGTTTCTACTCGCCTGCCATGAGATCAACGTTGTCTAACCAAGGGGACAGCGAGTCTTTGAACAAGTACGGCGGACTGCGGCGTGTACGAGAGGATGTGCCTTGGCGGCTGTGGATCGTGGCAGGTATAGGATTCTGGGAAAGAGCTGCGTTCTGGGGTCTAACTGCACCATGGCGTATGTTGCTTCTGGAGGCTTTCAGCAACATGAGTACCGCTGACCAGATGGTGCGCAGAGAACTACATGGAACATCCGCTGCACCGTGATGCAGGACAGCCAGCCGGGGCTCTGGGCCTCGGTCAGGCAATGGCAACGCGGGTCTACTGCGCCTTTTACATATTCTATTATGCTGCGCCGATCCTCGTCGCCATTGTCGCGGATAGCTACCTGGGGCGCTACGTCACGCTAGTTGCCAGCGTGGTGCTGTACTGCCTCGGATGCGCCATCTTGACCGTGAGCTCCGTGACTAGCGTCATCGAGAGGGGGTGGGGTGTTCCGGGCCTTGCAATCGCCATGTTTCTCATCGGTCTCGGAGGGGGAGGTTTCCGAGCGATTGCGGTCCCGTTCATTGCCGACCAGCAAACTGAGACAGAGCCCAGGGTCATGACGCTCAAGACGGGAGAAGTAGTCGTCACAGACTACCAGATCACTCTGCAATACATCTACAATCTGTACTACTGGTGAGTCTTGGAGAAAACGAGGGGGCAGAGGGTGGGGGCTCCAAGCGAGGCTATCGCATGGCTTACGATCCATCAGGGTTGGCAACGTCGGCTCGCTGTCATGGTTCGCGACCGTCTACATAGAGACGCACGTCAATTTCACGGCTGCCTACGGGCTGACGCTGGGGTTCATGGTGATCGCGCTCGTCATGCTCGTTGGCGGCAGGCAATACTACAGTGCGGTTTTTCTACGTACCTATATCCTGATATCGCTCGCTGACGTGCTACAGCCAGGGTTCCTCGCGAGCAGAATGCTCTTCCCGAAGCGTTCAAGATCGTCGTCTGCGCCTGTCGAAGTGGCTTCAAGATGGGACGCGCAGATCCCTCCTACCAACTCGAACACCGTCACAGGACGGTACCTTGGAGTACGCAGCTTGTCGACGAGCTTACCCGGGGTCTTCAGGCTTGCCGGATTCTGTAAGAAGCCATCGATACGTGCGGGCCTCGAACTCTTCGCTGACCCATCGCTCAGTCTCGCATTCATCATGTTCTACATATGCTTCGACCAGATGCAGAACAACTTGATCTCCCAAGCCGGCCAGATGCAGACCAACGGCACGCCGAACGACCTCCTGCCTGCGATGAACCAGGTTGGCTGCATAGTGCTTGGGCCTCTCATCCAAGAAGTCCTATATCCATTTCTCCATCGCCGTCGCATCTATCCAACAGCGGTGAGCCGCATCGCCATCGGGTTCGCCTTCGTCACGTTGTCGATGCTGTACGCCACTTTGGTACAGCTATTCATCTACCGGTCTCCGCCTTGCTACGATCAGCCGGGAAGCTGCGGCCGCAACGAGATCAACGTCTGGATCCAGGCGCCTCTATACTTGCTGATCTCTGCTGGTGAGATCTTTGCCTACGTGACCGCGCTGGAGTATGCCTATGACCACTCGCCCAAGGCCATGAAGGTTGTTGTGCAAGCAATCGGCCTGCTCGTTGGTAGCGTGGGATCTGCGTGTGCGATGGCGTTAACGCCGGTTGCACGAAACCCGTACCTCGTGACATTCTACGCCTCGCTCACGGGGAGCATGGCTGTTACAACCGTCATTTTCTGGGCTCTGTTCCGCAGGCACGACAGCTCGCCAGTGTGTGTCGAGGGTACGGCAGGTCCGCCCGCTGCCGTATTGGGCGTAACACAGCCGAGCAATACTCGTCCGGCTGCCAACCAAGTGTCGGATGAGGCGCCTTCGCTAAGTCCCATTGATGCTGGCGGTCCTATCGAACTCCACAGCGGAAGTGACTGTTCGTCTCAGACCATCCGGCGGCAGAGCCAAACTCCAAGCTGGAGACCTGCGATTCCGCGCAAGAGCTCAAAGCGGCAGGGAAGGGAGGCAGATGACCAGATTAACTTTGTGAGCCGTGCTGCCCCTTCGACATCGATCCTAGGTCTGCATGGTCAATGCACGCCTGTGCCAAGTTATCACTTTTCGCTACCACCTGCGGGCGGACGGGCGGCATCAAGAGGCGGAGAGCGTCGTCCTTCGCCGTCGTGTTTGCATCGGTACTACGCTTCAACGATACAGCCAAGCGTTTAGACAACAATACACCGTCTCGAGAGCGAAACATCGCAGGCTTCGTACATCAGCTGTGTGGTGTGCGGTCGAAAGATCTTCAGAAGCTGACAATCTGTGCGGGAAGGAGACTGGAGGCAGAAACCGTACGCCCTGGCGGTTGGGACAATATGCTGGGCGACTTTGGTCTGGATTTAGCTAGTGAGAATTTGTCCCTTCGTTCGTGCAATCAGCACAAGCATGCAAGTGTGCGCAGCTATGGCTATGGCTATAGACAACCAAGCTCGATTGTGTTCTTCTATTGGCGATGATACGTGCAACCGAGATGCCGACAGTCCTGCTCTAATAGCTGCACAGCTACGTCGGAGTCGCCTTCTTCGCTCTCACCGCACACCTCTCTGCATTTCTGGCGGAGGAGGCTGGAGCCCAGAGAGGTCTCGTTGCGACTGATGGTTCCTGCCTCCAACTGCGTCTCGCTCACTCTTCAACTGATCTGTATCGGTCCACGCTCTGCGAAGCCATACGCCCTAATCACGTTTGTTCTTCTCACCCGCAACCCTTTTAGCGGCCCTTTGACTCTCCAAGAATGCGTGGATGCCCTCCTGTTCATCTCTGCGCAGCTCTTTCTCCAGCTCATGGGTGTACTTTTTGCGCCAAGCGCGTAGACGGTCTGGTGCAATCATTGTTCGTGACGACACTCAGAACAGAAGAACGATGATTTCCTGTCAGGTGCGGGCGCGAGTTTCCATGACGGATGGGCGCTTGCGGAAACATTGGAGTAATACCACTCCTCCGTCTATCGGCTTTTTTTTTTAGGTACACGATGCGAGAAAAGGAGGTAAGCCGAGAGATGATCCCGTGCGATTCAAAAGCGCCCATGCTGATTGTTTGGAGGCCGAGTGGGACTCTGGGCTTCCAGCTATCAGTTTTCGTTCAGAGATCTGTCGCCGCTGATTGCAACACCTCACGTAAAACCTGAATGAGAAACAGGTGATAAGAGCGCAGGCTTCCGTAGGACAGAGACGTGATCGTGTAGCGATCCCTCAAGCGGCAGGTTTGCTCCAAATTACGTCCAGTGGCTTCCAACGAGAAGGCGATGTCGAGAACACGAAGCGACTATCCACGATCAGAACGCATGGATCGCTCTTTTACCGTCGCTGAGCATTCGGATAAGCGCTAGGCTGCAAGCAGGAGGATACTTCGTTGAGTATTCACAGCTGCAGCGTGTGCTACTGCAGTTTTGATCTAGCGCACACAAGAAACCTCTGTGGTAGCAGACTCTGGGTAACAGCCTGCCTGTGTGGAGACTCATCTCATGGACGTCGCTAAACATCACGTCTCAAGAATGCTATGCTATGGTTGACTGGGAGACTGGTAGTAGACGACGAAGTGCGACGCATGATCTTGCGACTGAAGCTTTCCTTTTTCTAATGCTCGTACATCAGCAAAAAGCGTTTTCTGACAGCGCCTAGCACCACAGTTGACAAGGCTGACAGGGCCAGTTGGCAATGCCATCATGACTCTACTAGTTCTAGTGCGCCGCCACAAATATATGCGTTGTGTGTTGATGCCGGCACACATGACATGACATGACATGGTCTGCATGTACGCCCATGTTGTGCCCATGTTCAAACTGAATGCGCATTGCAGAGTGCTCTGTCTAGCATGAAGTTGGTGATCCGGGTACGTCTTCGGCGCTCCTGGAATCCTTGAACTATGACGCACACCATAGGGGCAAGCAATGGTCGCACCGATTTGCCTTGGCTGCGTGCACAGCTCTTACTGCTACCGGTGGCTGCCCTTGTAGCAAGTGGCCTCGGTCATGCCGATGGTGGTTGTCTCGACGGAAGCTGCAATGAAGGATGAGATGAAGGATGAGGCAGAAACGGGTCGACGTTACTCTTCACATGTCGCCTCACGATGACCCCTACTCTGTCGCATCTTTTCATGACACAGTAGATCCAAGCGCGCAAGCCGACAGGTGGTGGGGCACCTTGGCTCTTATTGCGGCATACCTATAAGAGACGATTACCCCCTGAGAGAGGGGTATAACCTTGCAGCAAGATCATCGGGCGTGGTACGGCTGCCGTCGCATTGTAATGTCGAGACATGGCAGGTAGATAGTCCCAAACAGAGACTGTGCGGACGGTCCGAGCTATCAAGTCATGATGTTCGGACTTGGTTGCTTGCGCACCTATGTATTCTGCATGTCACTTGGTCCAAACGGGCCAACCAACTGCAAACTGGTCGCCTGGTCTCTACAAGATGATCCTGTGCTTGTGAGAAAGAAGGATTGATGAACCCTGTGAGATTCCTAGGTGCAGAGAGGCGCTCTAGCGCCACAATCCTGTTGCGTAGTAGCGCGGACATGCTCCTCCACTTTTAATCACCCACTCATTCAACCAAATGGCGTCTTGCGAATTCTTTATATTCAGCCCTACTCCCTTCCATAGGTATGCAGGCTTTTGCTTTTGGCGCTTGTTGTTTTGAGGATTGTACTGTACTCCCGCTAACGAACTGCTGTGGTAACGCTTAGCTGTCACTAGCTGACACTGTCGGTCCGCAACTGCTTCGCCATCGCTCTGCTACTTGGCTGTTTACCTGAGCCTTGACTACCATCGCCTGTTGGCTCCTGCTGTCAGCGCGTCTTCGAAGCATTGATCAGATCGAAACTCCCACGGTACAGTAGATCAGCAAGTGTTCCGTCGACTGCTCCCGCGAGCAAGATCTTGTAGTGCCGGCTCTAGCGTTTGAGAAGTCGCCCAGTTTGACATCCCAGGTATGTACACTGTCTAGTTTCCTGTCTATAACGGAACCTTATGGGGTCTTGCTGAACGTTGAACACTCAATGCTTATATGCCTAGGTCCTTCAGCGCACTTCGCGTTGCCGCGTTTCCATACTTGGGTCTTGCGACAACAGTGCGTCTCCCATGGCGGTAGGTACAGAACGCCACGCGAAGAAAGCGGCATCTAGATTAAAGCAATCGTTGCTTTCGCAGCCTGTTCAAGACGCCATGTCCTTCCATACCCCGAGCCATAACTCTGGGTCTGGTCATCCCCATGCTGCCGACACAGCTTTCGCACCAAGCCCCATAGATCGACTCGAGCCCATTCATGATTCTTCCACTGGTCAAGAACTCGCTACTCAATCTACGCGCCATCCAACACTCGGGAAACCTGACGAACTATCGCGAACAAGTAAGCAGCCGCAGAATAAGTTGGGATATTTTAGAGCTCGGATGGCATGTGGTAAGTTAACAAGCGGGACCTTATAGTGGTGTGTCTCTTGATCACTAACTGGTGGGCATAGGACATTGCAGACGCAGAAAGATACGATGTATCTTAGATCCCGATGATCCTGCAAGACGTTGCTTCAGCTGCATTCGGCTGAAGAGAGAATGTAGTTTCTGCCCAATTGAGCATAAACCCGATATGCCGCCGGCTCCAACGACCTCGTCGAATGAGGGTAGGGCACTACAACCAGCTACACCAGTGGCTACCTTACCTCCGTATAGCGGTGCCGTGGTCGATTTCCACACGCCGTTTTCTGGACTTGTATCGAACGGGCGGCCTCTAAGTTCTGGGTATTACGGTAAACACGGAGGTAATCTTCACTATGCGTCTGTCTCCAGTAGCTGTAGGCATTGCGCCATCTTAGTTTTGCAAACGCTGACGAATAGAATCCCAGCACATGGCCCACCTGATCTATACCCTTATATTTATCCTATGGAGGCTCAGTATCTATCAGCGGACGGTTTCTCGACTCCACCTACCGTGTCCGAGAACCCCTCCTGGCCTAACCTGCTTTCTACAGCAATTCCAGCATACGGTAGCGCGTCAGAAGTTTCAGGTTGTCATATTCCTGCCGCAGTGAGTACGAGCTCGACTATGTCACATGGCTATTGGGGCCAGCAAGCACAATCCCAGCTACCGACAGACCCGATTTCAAACAGCAGCATGGAAGACCTTGCGCAGCAATACTCTAGTCGGGGATTTGGCATCCAGTATAAAAATAACCTGCAGATCTCACCGTATCCATATCCAACCACCGCAGACACAAACCCTTCTAGCTTACAATTTGCGCGAACACAGTGGGTGGGTCTACGTTAGCATGAAGACAGGACTGAGAAAAACAAAAAAATGCAGTTGTCTGTTCGTTGAAAAACATTTCCTGTGGGACTTGCGTGGCGTGGCATTGCGTGTGCTCTCACACTCAAGGCTAACTAATTACAATGGCGTTAGTAAATTAGACGGAGATGGGATGGGAAGGTCGCCTGTGGAGATCTCGGTAGCGCTCACGAGCCCATCACTATGCTTTGTTGTCGCCACATAGGCCGCTCGTAACCTCTGCGGGCTTTGCAACTATGAGGAAACGGCACGTGAGCAATAACACGTAGAGTAATCACATGATGGACGACGTCACTAGGTTCTTTGCCATAGTCTTGCTATCATACAATCATCTGTTGCCTACTACCTGGTGTTCCTCGCTGTTGTCCGTCTAGATCTCACACTGAAAGGTAACATCATTGAGGTCTACCAGAGCCCGCGGGTGATCGCTGTCAAAAAAAATGAAAGTCTGCTTGTTGTTGATGGCAATGGTACGATCGTTCTCCCGGAAGACACAGAAGACGCCTTCGACAAAGCTGGTGAGCTGCGCACTGGAAGCCACGACCCTGTTGGCGTTGTCGATGTTGGTGTGGGCAAACAGTTCTGGTATCGTGAAGACACTGCCGTTGGCCAGTACCGTTGCTTGGGCACTCGTGCCAGTCTGATCATTCGCCAAGGAAACAGTAATTTGTGGGACAATGGGCTTGCTGTGTGCGCTCGCTAGGAGAAGGGTAGTGATAAGGGCTGATTGAAGCGCGGACTTCATGCTTGCCGCAGGTGCTACGGGTGCTTGATGGTGATGGCTGGGGCTTGGTTGATCGTGGTGGTGGTGTTGTTGGTGGTAGTGGTCCGTCTGAGGTTAACGGCGAGTATTATACCTGAGTGTGCAGCCACTGCCATTCCACTATGCGACCAAGGATAGAAAGCCAAACGGTCAAAACGGCAGCGGCTTAGAGGAGCCTCTTTTGGACATGTCATCACGAAGCGTCCCAGCCTTGGCAGCGTCGCGGGTACCTCGTCTAAAGCACCACCTCCACGCAGCCGTACGCTCTGTATTCATGCGGCGAAGACGTAGCCGCGATGTCTGCGTTGCTTAGAATGGCCGTGGAGGCTATCTTTAGGCCGCGCTTGCGCACCGCCTCTCCGTCGAACCACGCTAGCAGGAACACCAGCACCGTGCGCCGCAAGTACTGTACGAATACAGTACAGTACAATCATAGAATGTGGCCTAAGATAGCTGAAATGCTGTACACGGACCAAGGAACGCTATTCGCGGGTCGTTGTGTACAGTAGCACTGGCAGCCTTATCGGTACTCCGCATGTGTCCACACCGTGTGGATTATGCCCAGTGGTGATGCAGTCCACAGTCTCGGCCTCGCGGCTTCGAACACCAGTGGCCCGCTGTCTGACTGTACCTGGCACAGCGACATGCTTCTTCTCATCAACGCATCTGCAATTTCGGCTCTCTCTCTCAGATCGTCCGCCGCAGGCTGCGTACTGTACTGGACGCATCCGGCTCTCCTACCTTTTGCATTCCTCGTCTGAGTCCCTTGTAGGATTCAAAAGTCTCTTCTTACGGCCTGTGCCTGATACGTCTCCATATACGCACCTCAAAGAAGAGAGCTGCGAGTCTCGGGGAGATCTGTGCGCAACTGACCGTCAAGAAGAGAACGAAGCTGCTCGTCCGCACATCGGAACACCAAAGAAGGTGCTGCATGCAAGTGCAACCTGAATTCGATCCATCACACGCTCGCCGCGCTGCTCCGCGAGTAGAAGTGCTCTGCCTGTGTCAACGCCGATACGTACAATCCAGCAGTACTTTGGCCTGCTCAGATACACTACCGATCTTTACACACCCGCATAACTACAGGTCATCATGATGGAAGCCCTGCTTTCTGGAATGCTGTCTCACCAATTAGTCCGCTTGGCCGCCCGCCAGGGCCTCCAGATCTATGTACTGGGGAACGAGCTCGAGTTGAACAAAGATGCGTCCCCTGTAGAACCGCTGTCGGAAGTCGTCCTTGCCATCTCGTTACGGGGGCCGGGCGGCGTATGGCCACCACCGCGGCCGTTGCTCCAAAACGCCTTGCGGCTTTCCCTAGGCGTCGAAGACATATACTCTTCGCTGGTGCCGCGCGAGGGCAACGAGTATGACGAAAGCCTCATGCTTCTCCATCTGCTGCTGAAGCGCTGCGATGAGTACGCAGGCGCGCCTAACCGCCACAGCATCCGGCTCCTGTGGCTCGAAGAGCCTGTGGAGATCGCCTTCGAGCCACACCACATATCTTGGATCGTTGATGTCGATGCAGACCGTCGTCTGCAGTTGGTTAGACGTCTAGCGCTAAGTTCGGAACGTTCCGGCAAGGGACCTTCACTGCATTACTGCGGAGTGCACGAGAAGCAGCCGACGGTGAGGGAAGTGCAGTGGCTGCCCGTGGGGCCTTTGGCACACGGTGAGATTGCCTTCAATCTGGGCGGCAAGGCCACGGCTGAAGAGGAGGGTCTGAGGTTTGTGATCAAAGAAGCAACTGGGTCGGAACATGCTAAGTGAGACATGCAAAGCACGGCGATAGCGACTGAGCTCACCACTCTGTATAGCGTGTGGTAGCGGTAAATCTAACATTGAAATACATCATCATAACTGAATGTACAGAAAACATAGTGATTCGCGCCGTTTGCTTCATCTCTTTTACCGTCCAAAGGGAGCTAGGATAGCCGGAGCTGTCAAACAGTAGTCGCTGTCATGACCTCTCAGGCAGCTCGCCTCCAGCAGCTCCTACGCCTATGTTGCCGACCTCGTGGATGCTACAAACCGCGGTTCGACTGCCGCGGCACTCGTGTGCATATATCGAAGAAGAAGGCGCAATATCCTTCCACGTCTCGAGATCCCGATGTCCGGTCATGGCCGAGATGAGAGAACAGCGTTGATCTCCCAAGTGACCTAACGATACTGTCGGCTTGTGCTTCACCATGGCGTTGGCGATCTGTGCCCAATCAAAAGGAGTGGAGTGTATACTCAGTTAGCAGGGGATTACTTTGACGTGATGAACAATATTCATCCATTCCTGAGCCACGCGCCTCAGAGCCACTCCATCTGCATACGCCTCGAAAGAACCAAATGCACCAACCAGCTCCTCTCCCAGCACGCTTTCCAAGTCAGAAGAAAAAGTTGAGCTTTGGCGTCATCATATAACTAAAAGCTCGTCTAACGTAGAGTACAGACATCAGCAACGTGGATAGCCTCGCCACGATCATATGCAATCTTCACATCGTGCTAGATCCATCCATACAGCCCATGAACCCATTCAGCGTGTAATAGACGCCAGTACTAGCCCTACCCACGGTCAGATTTGACATGAGTTCGAGAGTCAGTGACGTCTCTGGTGTAGCCAAATTTGAGATAGGCCTATCGCAGATACAGGATAGAACTAAGCTGTCAGAGACTGAACAGTGCGAACAGCTTTGCGACGCACGGCCACTACGTATGACGTTAGCTTAGTTCAACGAAATGCTGACTGTATACGGTACCGTACGCAGCGTTGTAGGTCAGAAGGCCGTTCACATTGGCAATGCATGTATCGAGATCGACGGCGAGCGTTGTAGCAGTTTGGGTAGACTCTTTCAGGCATGTTACGGAGAGCGTGCTACCTTGAAGGTTGATGTCCCTGCACTCGCTGATGGACCTTGGTGCGTCGGCCGATTGGGCGTTATCTGGTGAGGGATCGAAAAGAAAGGGATGGTCAGGATCACCAAGTAGTTGGCGACGAGAAAGCGTGCGTGGAACTGCGCCCACGAAGTTTGGCCTGCGGGAAAGAAGATAAGAAGCTCCGAAAAGAATGATAGGAGCGTGCATTTTTGCGTTCGTGAAGGAGGAAGCGTGGGTTGACGAGCGTAACAGAAGGACGCTCACAGTTAAAAGCGACAGCGGGTTGACTAGTCACGTCTGTACCCCAGTGGCAGCTACTATTTCAGCTCTGCCTTTTGCAACTGGAGTCTGCATCGATGTGTTAGCTGAGTCAGACCTCCAACATCCCAGTAGCTTACCCAAGCAGCACTTGGACGTTTAGTCTTGCCAAATTTAGCCTCACGTGTCCGTTTAGGGACTTCAGCGCTGGATGGATACCTAGCTTAGTAGCCTGCTGCTTGTTTCTAAATGCGAAAACACGACAGATTTTCTGTTCTTACGCTAGCGTGCAGTCGTGCAGATAAGTAGCACGCTTCGGAAGCGGAGAAGACTTTGAGATAGCTTGCACACAATCACTCCCACACTGCAACAGCTACGTGTTGCTACCATGCGGTGCTCAAGCTTGTCGTACTCTCTCGTTCTTCTAGGCTCGATCTCCGAACTCGCATCAGGCACTTCCAGTTCCCAATCCCGCCGCCAAACGGGCGAAGTCGCCTTACAGCTGAGTGACCTCTGCGTTGGCCCTGCACTCGATGGCAGCTCCTTCACCATTATCTGCTCCGTAGGAGCCAGTTTCAACATACCAAGCATCGATTTGAACACGTGTCTCCACAATGATGATGGCGTACTGGGATTTTCGTACGTGTCATAGATAGCACGTTCCCCTCCGCCCATTCGGCTACTCACCGCGATAGCAACGGTTCCGCTTTCTTGACTTGTTCTGGGTGTGAGCTCCAAGATCTGAGGCTTACCTGCAACTGCCAAACGCGAGAGGACGGGCCTGCAAACACCGAGATCGACCTTAGTAAGTACAGCGTTCACCTAAGGTGGCTATGTGCTGACAGTTTAGATGACGGAGTCTTCATCCGGGCTGATGGGCAGTTGGAATGCTAGGGGATGCTTGACTATTACATGCTAGCTAGAGAATATGCTTGCCCTTTCTATATGTCTCGACGTTTCACTCTGACACTGTCAATTCTTACATCGGTCTCAATGCATCGCGATGTCATCTTGGAAGCGAACTATAGAAGCGTGAACCGAAGAGTACACTACACTAACGGGTGGCACGTACACCATTCCTCAACGAATGTGCGTAGTTCGGGCCACGACAGCATCCTGCTTAGCAATGCGAAAAACGTAAAAGACGCGTGGCAAGATTTGGCGGCCAGACAGCGGTGTTTAGGATTTTGCAAGAGCAAGGAGATGAAGCTGAGAGTGGTGGATGGGCGCCAGGTACCTCATCGGTCATCGTTCGCAATGTTCGAAGCGCCCGTGCACTGGATGAGCCAGTTTAGCACGTGTTCCGCCCTATCCATATTTCTACATAATAGAAAAGAAGCTACTGAACCACTCACAGAACATTGACTGGCTCGACGCTCTCTAGGGTGTCACTGAATAAAGACGAGCGAATGAATGTCAAACAAGGGTACATTGATAAGTCTCCATGGGACACTGAACGCTAACCGTAATGGGACGTAGACGAGAATGCGTGAGAAGACAGTATCGATGCAGCGCAACTATGCCATAACGCTAGTGTGAACAAGAAATATGACAGAGAATAAAGAGGCTGCACCTTTCGCTGCGCTAGCTTGGGTGCTCGTCACTCGTGCCTTGATGCCCACTTGATTCCAGCGCCGATGTCCAAGAACTCCCACTGATTGAACCGAAGTCTTATATAGTGCTGCTCATGTACCTTAATCCGTGCTCAGTACATCTTTCGCTCAGGGAAGACCATGCCGTCGTAGCCATTGCCTTGAGGCTGATGGTATCCGTTGTGCGTTGGTGCACTGAAATCGCATGCGCTGTTCACTTGTATTGGGATAGTGTCAGAAGACATCGATAAGCAGCGACTGCTGCGATTGCTGCTGTGCTGGTGGAAAGAGCTGGCATAGCCTCGAGACACGGAAGCCATTGGCATGGCGGCATAGGAAGAAGGGAATGAAGAAGCAGATGATGACATGGCGGAGATGCGTCTGTCTTTGCCTCGACCTTTGATACCCTTGTTGGAATTCTTGTATAGGGAGGCAAAGTACTCCCACAGCTTCTTGTCCTCTTGGGAGACACAATCGCCTGGGGTCACGGTCGCGAACTTCGTGGTAAGATACCTGAGCGTAGCGGCATGGAACTTGTTTTGGTGGGACTACGACGAGTTAGTGATGGATAGAGAGCCATGATTCGCAAAACTGACCTTGAGGTTGCCTAGTTCAGTGAACTTCTTGCCACAGGCGTCTAGCTCGCAGCTGAAGGGCTTGATCCCTTGGTGGACAGTCTTGTGTGCTCGAACGTTGCCACGTTGGGCGAATGTCTTGCCGCAAATGTCGCAGCTGTATGGTCGCTCTCCTGTGTGGCGCCTCTCGTGAGTCTTGAGGTTACCGAGCTGCGAGAACGACTGGCCACATCCTGGTGCTTTGCAAGGGAATGGCTTGTCACCAGTATGGGCGCGGATATGAATCTCAAGATGCGTCTTTTGGTAGAAGCTCTTGTTGCAGTTGGGTACAGTGCACTGGTAACGCTTCCTGGGCTTCTGAGCGTTCTTTGTTGCGTCGTCCTGCTTCAATGTTAGCAACGTTGATCTTGAAATCGTGAAGGTAAATGACATGCCTTCTGTTCATTCCCTTGAGGCGGGTGTGTCTGTTTCGCCTGGATGGCCCTCATGAGAGTGTCCACATCGGTGGCAAAGTTGCTACCACTGCCTTCAGTAGGCTCTGAGGTGAATAGCTTCGATTCAGTTACGTATAACGGAATGGCGTACATCTGGTCTGACTGCGGCGATGGTGTATCCTCAGACTTGATGTTTGGGCTGAACATATTGGACGGAGCGTGAGCCGGCTGCATATCAGGAGATTGGGTGTATGACACGAGACATGGCATTTGCGGTAAGCAGTAGGGAGTTTGCTGCATGTCGTGTAGGCTCACTGGTACCGTAGTAGGAGCGGCGCACACAAATGCTCCTGCTTGGTACGGGACGGATCTGGTGAGCGTGTTCGTTGAGTAGAGAGACACGTTGACGTCCATGTGGTTTGAGGTGGGCTGGTACTCGCGCGAGACGGGAGCGTTCGCGAAATTCGGTGGAGTGTAGTAGGGAGGCATGACGTTGTTGAGGTGCATGTTAGGAAGGTGCATTGATGGTTCTCGTCGGTCTTGCCAAAGTCCAATGTTGTGAGATGCAACCGCGGTAGCCATAGTGGATAAAGACGCTGTGGCCACGGGATGGGGAACGGAGTACAACGGCGGTATATGCAGCGATTGGACAGGCGAGGATGGAAGGCAAGTGCAGGCCGGGTCCTGAGCTTTCCAAAATGAAACTATCCAGACAGCAAAAGGAGGCGTGGTACAGATTGAGAATCCGGTGCTGCGGGAGTGTTGTAGACTTGCTCGATCTATCTGACTTTGATATGGGGGGCGTTGGAGGCTTTCCGGTACACCACCACGCTGACCAGCCTGCGAGGTAAGCATGGTTTGTTGCAGATCAAGCCGAAGAAACGAGGGTTAGCACCGAGCATGACTGTGGTGGAGACAGGAAAGACCGCTCTCGCGTGTAACCAAGAACTTCTGAGACAGAGGGCTTACTGCAGGGGACGATGGAGGAACAGAGCACGACAGCCGAATAGGATGCAATCCAAAGATGAGAACGGAGTACGATCCTAGGTACGAGCTGACGCAGGAACGCCCAGGCCACACCCCATTTAGCGATACATTGATGACCACCAAGATGCACCCAGCAGCCTATCCCAGGAGTCAGTACGTCATTTGCTCAACCCCCACTGATCATTCTATTCAACGAAATTTTTTGGTACTACATATCATGCTGGGTCCCTTGACATACGAATGATTCGATGCTGCAGACTATAGCTAGGGTAGATATGCGAAGGCGGCGAGATTCTCTCGAGCCGGAGAGCTGGATACCTTGAGGGGGCCAGAGAATAGCGAGCAACGTCATTCGTAGACGGCCTGCGCATGATGGTTCGTAGATTCGTCAGTCCGACTGCTGAATGCTCATCGCCGAGAATTGCGCATGGAATACAGCTCAGCACATATTTCTGCACGCTGTGTGATTGTGGCTGCGGTCCCCTGCACGGTCGGCATGTCGAGGGTCCTCTACCAATCGGGCTCAGAGGCCAAACCCCCTCTACCTAGCTCGGCACCCGCCGAACGCGCCATCGAAATAGTCAGGCAAACAGTCTGCCCAGTTTCATGGCATCGCTGTGGCTCAAGGCGAGGATCTCGGCGATCATGTCTGCTCTGCAGTCTCTTGAGCTAGATCGGCTGCATTCGTACTATCCCGAATCGTATGACGTTTCGGAGTCGTAGATCGCTCTGTTCGACGGCCGAGACATCCTGGTTTTTCAGTGATCAGCGGAGAGCTGGAGGGAGCCGGAATCGCCGACAACATCATGGTGCTACTCCATAGACGGGCATTGATGCCTATCGCAATGTGACAGCGCTGTTTCCCCGACTTAGTGATGCATTGGGAAGAGACCTGTAGTTGCATTGAACAATAAATGCGAGCAGCCTTGCGAGATGAAAGACCTTTTGATCAGTATAGCCGTAGACGCTGGGGGTGGCCAGGCTGCAGAGTGCTATCACACACCCTATCCGCGCTACAACGGTTACTCCGCAAGGTCTGGACTCAGGCTCCAGTATGCGGTCTGTCACTCCAGTTACCTCGACCAAACCCGGGCTGGTTCTATCAACAGCCCAGCGTCGAAACCCCACATATGCTGAGTCAATGTACTCCTCCGTGGCCGTTGCGGGGCTGCTTCTCTTTGCGCAGATAGCATACCTTGCTCCACCACGACCTCCTTCTGTACCGCAGAGATGGCGGTGCAGACCTCAAGACCTTGCAAAGAAACGGCGGATGCCATGAAATTCTGCGGTGACTATAAGGCCCTCCATAAAGTATTGAACCCCAAATGGACAAAGTCTGCCGCGCAAAACGTCTTCCGAGACAGGGCGGCTACGCCAGAATGGCTACGGGAATTCGAATTGTATCAAGAGACCTACGCGACCGTTGAGCCTGACACAGATAGCTGCACACCAGCAATGCGTCAGGTCATCGAACACGAGCTGGAACGAGACGTCAACGCTCCACTGAAGTTACACATGGCCATCCCCAAGAATCTGGTCAGGACATGCAGTCCTACATCTATCAGGATTGCCATTCGCTTCCATGGAGGGGGAGGAGTAAGCCCGATACGCCATCATCCTCTATACATAGTAGCTAAAAGCTGCAGGTGACTGGACACCCGAGGTATGGCCCCTGGGAATGTCGTGCAGATCTAGAGTGGATTTTGTCATCACCCAATACGATCAGCATCGAGCCTACCTATTGCCTTTTGCCTGAGGCCTCTGGAGACACTATATACGGTAACATAAGGAGCCTTTGCGCCTTTCTGTTCAAGGACTTGGAGGCCGCCCTCGAATCGATCAACCCGCACTTCGCCATTGCTTGGGATCATGTTTACATCTTTGGCATCAGCTTCGGAGGTTGGATGGCGCTGGGCCTGTTTCTAGAGTTCGGTAACTGGAATTCGAGGCCTCCAAACTTTCGCATTCGAGCGGTTATTCTCAGATGTCCACTCGTGAAAGAATACCGTCGCGAGCAGGGGCGCTTCATGGGTGTTGAGATCCCAGAGCAGCAAGCTATTGATGATAGCAAGAAGATCTACGACATCAAGTGTCGTATGCCATTCCAGCTCCATAGGGCCGGAGATCACCCACCTGGGGGGATGTATGGTGCATACGCATTGTCTGTAGCAAAGTGTTGGGGGATGATCTGGGGGTCCAACATGATGTTCGATATGATCAAAGAGACACAGGAGTGCCCAGACCCTCGGGCAAAGGTGCGCATCGACCATGGCACTGCGGACATCCAGGTACCGTATACATCGTCTGAAGAGCTCTGCGCCCTGTTTTCGGAGAAGGGGTGGCAGAAAATCGACCTGATACCCCATGAAGACAAGCCGCACGCGTGGGACTACAAGGATCCGATCACAGAGAGTTTATTAGACTACCTCCATACAAGCTCGGTCTAGATGGGTCTGGTACAGTAATGACAGAATACAGAGCTGTTGAATTTGTGTTTGCGAATTTTACCCATCAAACTGCGATAACGTGAGACTGTCGAAGTAAGACCCGCTAGCTCCCGACGACCAAATTACTAACGATAGAAAAGGGTACAAAACTAATAAACATATGAGAAACATCAAGCGGTAGAGGCTAGTTCGGCCTTGTCCTTATGAACCACGATCGTCTCCTTGGCCAGCGTTGATAGGCTTGTCGTCATGTTCATTGCAATTGACCCACTCACCCGCCTTGTCCTCACCCGCCTTGTCCTCACCCGCCTTGTCCTCATACACCATAATGGTCGCATCAGCCAACGATTGTAGACTTGCTGGCATCTCCCACGTGTCCGACCCACAGATTCTCATCTTGATATAATAGTAATCAGTTGGGCCTACTATCCCTTGCAGAACTCCGGAACGTTTGAGAATCTTCCCAGTGTCGTGATACACTACGTGTCGTCCAAATAGCTTGACGATCTGTTCCTGTCGGTACCGCGACGCAGTCATGGTCTTTTCAGGTCGAGCCAGCTCTTGAAGCCGAACCAACAGGGTCTTTGCTAACGCGTGGAAGTCCGTGGCGTCTTGGCGATGGGCCAGCAGGCTAACCATGCCTGCAAACTCCACGAGTTTGACGTGACAAAGTCCATCCTGCTGTTCGACAGGAGTCTCAAGCTTATCGTCCGTTGTGAAGAACGCGTACAGGCCCCGCGTGATCAATACACGTCCCTCTTTGTCTAGCTTTAGGTGGTCGGGCTGGAGATCTTCTGCGCGTAGCGATCGAGTTAAGGGCGGTACGAAAGGGGCGGGAGCGGGAGGGGGGGGCGGAGCGGGCGGAAACATAGGGATGTTCGACGAGACCGACGACGAAGGGGGGCTGTGAGCACCTCCCGACCATTCGACGGGCGACGACGGTGGCGTGGGTGGATACATGTACTCTAAGCTGAGTCGGACGATTAGCTGGATTAAAACCATCAAGCGTGCAACAGACTCACCACCTCCCGATGATATGATCGACAAATTTGTAAATGACAAAGGCTGTTACTAGGGATGGGAATGAGTAAGAGATATCCATCGCTAATCACAATGTAGACAGTGGTAGGATCGAGGTAAAACAAAGGGGAAGAGAAGGCATCGTTTTATAGGTCATGTTGGCACGGCGATCAAAGCAATCGCCCTCGTTGCCTCCTTCCAAAGGTTGCCCTGTTCTGCCCTTCTCATCTTGGCCTGACAGCTCAAGCATCCTACCCTGTGCGCAATCTGCATATACGCCAACTCCGAAGGCCGTGCTCTCCGAGCACCTGATCATGGCCGCATTCACTTCTGTGCGACCCCACTCTTGCCGGAGTACTGGCTTTGACCAAGCAAGCTACTTAATTAAGGCCCTAGCAGATGCATACGGCTTAATGCGAAGACCACTGGGCGGAATTCCCAAGGTGACTGTCTGTGAGCGTCTTTGTCGTTCAGATTGCAACATATACTGGGCTTCTCGACTCTAGTCCGTGATACTCTTATGAAGCTTATCGAAACACCCGAACTACGGTCCAACTCTCGAGACCTTTGATGCCCATCAATTTGTTGGTAGGCGGGGGCCATAACGCCTCTGAGAGTAACAGACAGCAGGAACTCGAAGCAAGCAGCTGGCCATCGGTGAGATATCCTTGTGAATCCATAGCGCGTTGGGAAGCACGGAGGCTAGCAAGCCCACCTCATGGGCGAATAGGGACAGGGAGCCGAGCCATTGCAGTCTGCCCGCTTCGCGCATGCTTAGCACCGTGTGAAGCGACATGGAAGGTGCGCCGCAAGAGTGATCGGCGATGATACTCATCGCTACTTATCGAGCTGCGTGTACTTTTGCGGAAGCACGCTTTGCGCCACAGGCCCTGACGCATGGCACAATCGATCCAATCCAGATGCCGCCTCTACCTCCACGCCATCCTTGTACATGTTTTCAAAACAATTCATGGAGTATGATCTTACCGATAGTTGTGCTTTCGTTACTAATAGATGTTAGGGAACTTTGCGTGTCCTTGGCAAGAGCAAGGACGGGCATTTCGTCTTGAAAACACGACTCGGAAAGTTTGAGGAAGAATTGTTTGGTTGGATTCCCAGGGAGATCGCCAGCGTTAGTGACACACTTAGAGAGGGCTTTGACGCACGGAAGAACGGAAGTCCAGTCACGCAGGGTCTCCTGGCAGCGTTCGCCGGATTTTGCAAGCTTATTGGCCTGAGTAGTGAAATATGGTTGCCAGAAGGACCTTACAAATTAGATTGAGTGATAGGGTATCTGGTCAATGGAAGTCTCGAGTGAACTTTTGCGAATGTATCTAGGGCAGTTGCAAATCCTCCTCATTTAGCGTTTTCATACTGCGACGTGTTAGAAAATGCCACATTTAGTTGTTTTTGTGCTTACTTCCTCTTGAGGCCATGTATTAATCCCGTCAGCCTCGGTTCTCATTTCTCTGCAACGCATCTTCCAAAGTACTCTTCGTGTGGTAGTCTGAGAGCATCGTGCGGCTGATGTGGCTGGTGTGGCTGGTGTGGCTGTTGTGTGGCTGCATCGGCGGCGCGGATCGGCACCCGAAGATGTTCGATAACATTAAGTGCATCGCGAGCCTTACCGTTTTCTGGAAGAATCCTACACCACTCGTGTACAGTGCCTCTTCGTAAGAAGCTACAGAAACATTCAAGCAAGGCCTAAATATTGTTCAGTCATACACCAGCCCCGACTGGAAAGGACCGGCTCGCTTTGTTTTCGATGACATCGGATGGCTTGCACTGACTCAATGCTTGGATCAAGCCCTCCTAACACTCAGGAAATGCCATTCCTCTCGGAAGGGGGACGGTGGTGTTCGCAGACCCAAGGACGAGGGGGATTCCGAAAGTAGTTTGGATTTGAATGTGCGTCGCGCACATTCAAATCCAAACTACTTTGGGAGTCTTCCATCATGCGGGGACAACTCTAACCGTCTTTGCGTAAGCGTGAGTCTGTCATTCGGCGATTGTGCCTGTCGGGGTTTCGCCTCGCTTAAGCACATCACCTCCGCGCTTGCCACTCGCTTCATTACGGATCGGCTCCTAGACTCGAACGCCATGCATCAGCTAGACCTTGCACTTGACCTTGACCTTGTCCAATGTACAGGATCTCTTCCCCCCACGACACTAGTGTTCGCAACGTCGTTCCTTGAGGCGCGGGCCGCCTGGCCCTCCTTCTGCTGCATCGACTGCCTCACTGAGCAATCTCCCCGCATGTGCTAGTTGCTTGATTACCATAATCAACCCGCGGCACCGTCCTAGGTGGCGTTGATAAGCGTAGTTTTCGATAAGCCTAGGCCCTTCCAGCACAGGCCCCGCAAACTGTGATGAGGCCCGCTATGACCAAGTCTGTCGTGAGATGAGAATGAGATGAGAATGAGATGAGAATGAGATGTGCACAGATAGGGTCTCTTTGGCTCACACTGCGGGCGTTCAACGCTCAGCCAGATTATTGGGGATGTGCCGCGCGGATTGCCTCACACCCACGCTCTCGTCCATGCCGTTCGTCGGCAAGCGCCCTGACTGGAGCCACCCCCGGACAGCAGAGACCTCTCAGTGTCTGAAGCATTGCCCAAAGGATGGCCTGGAGTCGGTTGGACGACTGAGATGCTCATATATCATGCAGCCTTTCTGCAAGGCTGAGAGGTCCTCCATCCGTTGCCTTACCGCCCTTCCGTTCTCACCGGTTGCCTCGCTGCACGAACAGCCTGATCCATTCGAACATGACTCAAGCTTCTACATCTGCGTCTCCGGTAAGCGGCTCACCCTCACTGTCTCCAAGTCTGACCGCTGTAGGACCAGGAATACGTCAATCATGTTCTTTCGAGTTGCTTCGAAAAGCTCAATACTAAACGGCTAAATGCTGGAGCTCAGCGAAGTTCTGAACCTGAGGAAGAAGATGCGGCCTCTTGCGATGGCGGTTGGCTACTATCATGCTTCGGATGGATGTGGAAGAGCACGGAGCCTTGTCCTCCAAACACGCACCTGTCGGCATTCGATGACGACGTTTTGGCGAGAGATGTTCGCCAATATCGTAACCAGGACAGTTTCATCATTCGATGCCGCCGTAAGTCACTCTTATATGCAGCTCGTTCTCGCGATACCAGTGGTACTAGAAGCTGATGTAGCTTAGCAAACAAACAGTACAATTGCACATTGTGCAGCGAGTCCTTTGTCACGATAGACAAATGCATGTTCCATCTACAAAAGCACAACTCTGTGGATACGTCATCCACTATCCCAGCTCCACACGATAAGTCGACTGTAGATCGAAAACCCACGCCCGGTGACATCACAGCCCCGAATCACTCAGCATTCGCACACGGCACGACCTTGACGTCAAGCGGTCGAAATTCTCTCACTTCGCAGTCGAGCTCTTCGTTGTCATCGACAGAAACTAAGCTCACGCATACCAGTGGAGAGTGCACGTCATTCGATTCGATCTCATACTGCGGAGCGACACACTCAAAGCATGAAGAGGCTTTGGCGCTGGCAGACCCGGATCTCGAACTTCGTCCCGCTGCATTCGCGTATACTGCTCCCAACAAGGCATCGATGGAGGCATATCAATCGACTCCTGTGCATCAATATGGCGTATCCACACCGCCTCCGAATCCATTGGGAGCTACAGATGCGGAATCATATGATGATATCCACGCAATCCTGCATGTTGAGCGTTTGCATGCAGATGTCAAAGGTGTTTGGATGGGTGTGCTTGTTCTTACCCAGTCTGACACGCTCAAGGTCTTGCCGAGGGCGAATTTTCGCAAACTTGTTCAGCGGGAGCGCACTTCGAAACAGTTGAAATTTGTCATCGGGGTTGTTCCTTACGAGAATGCCCTATCTATAGATAGCGAGCGCGACAGCTCTGAGACACCCTTTCCCATTTCGTATCTCTCAGCTACGGAGATGCTCAATGAGTATGGCATGGTAGGGCTAGAAGACGGCGAAGAGCGAGCACTTGGAGATTGCTCTACACGACTTCAGGCATATGTTAACTTGATCTTGGGGTTGTAAATCATTTCTCAATGCCATCCATGTTACCTTGACTCGTCCTATCACTACCGCTGTGTTTGGAGTATCCTTTCGCATGAAAACTATCGATGCGTAGTGTTTCTTAAGCCACAGGGCCATCCACGGTCAACAAGATCCTATGAACATGCGGGCGTTAGTGCCTTTATTTCAAGGCATCGTAGCTCTGTGATACCACTTTCCATCGAAAGCACGGAGCAGAGAAGCACGGAATGCAACGAGCATGTCCGTGGCTTGAGGAATCCAATCGCCATGAGCTGCCAGGCTGGAAGGCAAGCCTTCGGAAAGAGCTCGAACGTGCTGCCAAACAGAAAGCGGAGGATAGAACACGGGTCAGCACAATTACTTGGTGTTCGTAGAACGCACAATGGATGCTGGCGAAAACGGTTTAACACTCCATGAAGGGAGATATTATGTAGGACATGAATGTGTAATATCGGGATAGCCTTCTCACGTGCAGTGAGAGAGTACGATAGCATAATATGACGTTTTTGTAGATACGTATTAGCGAATCAGATTGGATGTACGTGTGATAGCCTCGGATGAGGATGTGATATCCGTGGTAGCCGACGCCACGGCGGTACCGCGTTTTGTGTCCGTGCTGTTGGTGGCTCCTTCGGGTTCAGGTGGCGTACCATCCCGTCAGCAAAGTTGGAAGCAAGACTAGAGCATGCAAGTACCCTCAGCGTGCCTCAAGTTGTCGGTTACTCTGCTCGTACGCCATCCAACCAGCTCGATCTCAACTGCGGTTATGTCACCATCTGCCTTCTAGATGCAGAATAGATGGATCGTCGGTGTGCGGCACGACCGAGAGGTATATAAACCTTGACCATACCATACAAGTTCTATGTCGCTAGAAGCTCATCCCAAGTTACCCTCGAATCTGAGTACTTGCAGTCATTATCCGCTACCAAAAGCTTTTACTATCCCACAACTATGGGGCTGTCATCATCGCGGCCGCAGCCACATGATCATTATACAGTTTGGGGCAAGGAAGTTCTGGGTAAGTGACAACGTCGTGATACTACTTATTCTTATGCTGATATGGACCTGTCTTAGCAAGGCCGAAAAAGGTTACAAAACCCGAAAAGGTTGCAGACCGGCAAGATGTTTATGGGGAGGCTTCTGCATACACCCCTGGCTCAAGCGGTAGCGGAGGTCAAGAAGATGATGAGGCTACTCTCTACGGAGGAAACACGAAGAACCCCGAAAAGAACTAGCACGATCAGAGGCGAAGGGGACGCTTGAGGGCGCGTACCAATGGCATTGTGCAAATTGGATTCATGCAGTGTGATGCATGCAACTAGTTGATGTTGTCATCGTATACAACCCTGGTAGCAGTATGATACTGAATTCTGTCTTCGTCTGTCGTTTTCCTTGCATCTGAAACTCGCTCGCCTCCTTTGTCATGTAGCGCACGCCTCATTGCTCCCGTGTTATGTCACCATCTCCCCAATAGAGGGGGTGTAGCGCGGGCCAACAATACGTTTATCGCTACGTATAAGGCACGTAAACACGTAGATGATGAGTTCCTGGACCGTGTCCATTCCTGCCCGAGCGTGGATGACTGCGCGGATGAGACCGAAGAGGGAGTATGTTGGAGTTGCCAACACGTGGATATGCCTCTTGTCCTGTACATTATCTTCCTGATAACTTGAGATTTCAAAGAAGGTGTTCATAGTGTAAGAGGCATAGGTAAGCCGAGGTGGTATAGCGCAAGCCTTGCAGCGAACCACAGTCTGAAATAGCGATTCGTCGTTATTACATGCAAACATAAGTGACTGTGCCTTGTTGTGATACCTTTCAGCATTGCGTCCCACGGACGACCGATGTATCTGCTTCGTGTGTCGCCTGCGCTCCCGGATCGCCGCGACGAGACAACAGCCAGAAGATCCAGAAGCATATAGTAGTTCGCTCCGTGGCTCATAGCATTTTCTTCGAGTCGCAATGTGCTATTCTAGTCTTCCTGTGGCTTGCGGCAGCAACAGCGCGCTTCTAGGACCGATGGGGTTCAAGCCGAGAAGCAACTAAGAGGAGTTGCTTCTATACTTGCTCGTGCCCCCGCCACTATGTGCCCGCCGCTGTACATGCCGTTGTTTGTGCCGTCATATGTCCGCCGCAGTCTGGCCATCGATTGCGCGGCGTAGGAGGAGAGAAGTTCAGCGCTTTAGCAATTACAGTCGTCGCAGGCGACTGCGAACAGGTTCTGCGATAGACCATTAGCAATACTGACGATAGCGATGTGTATGGGCCTTCGATGTGCGGATCGAATGGTGTTCTTCCGATAGTACCATTGTATGAGGGAGCAATCTTGCTTGAATAAGCCAAGATCATCGCCCTCAATGCCTGCAAGTACAGATAAAAAAGCCCTGCCTACGTGCAGGAACCGACCAGTGTTTCTCGGGCCCGTCTTGCCTGTGCTAACACACTATATAACTTACTCCGCTTCTTCCATCCCAAAACGGGTATAGCTCAACACAGCGTGGGTTTGGTTTCAATGGTACTCTAGCCGATCATAGAAACGATATAATTATTCAAAGGGTCCCTATAAGCGTTGTCTGTACTCGGTGACATGATTGTTTTCTTCTGGTCTAACTACACTAGCTGCGATCCACACGTGGCACCTACACATATCTATCCTACCGTGCTACCTCGCGTTTCTTCAGCAGAAGATAGTGAACATGCAGACTGTTTCCATCACCCGCAAGCCTTGGACGAAGTCCTCGCAAGCCGTCCTCATGGTCCACAGCCGTCAGATGTAGACCGCGCGGCCGAGAGTCTGTGGACACATTAGGCCTTTCTGTGCAACCGTGGCTTGGTGGTGCGATCAACAATAGGCGGTTCTTCCCCTATCGGTGGAAGACGACGGTGGTCACGATGTCGAGAATAAGAGCGACCTCGCTCGCCGGCAGGTAGCTCGGCTGGTCCCGGCGATGTTTCCGTAGGTGATACGTCAATTGCTTGGGAGGCTTCTGGTTTTCTATGCGGGTTCCCATATCCATGGACCAGAAGCTCGATGATTACGTTTGGCGACGCACTTGCTCTAACACATTTGGAGCACACCAGCGGTTCTGGGTCAAGACTCGAGCGGTAACGACTGGAGCGACGCCTACCGCATAGGGTGCAGGTGTTGATGTTGACTCGGTGGCCGACCGGATATTTTGGCGGTGTACATATCATAGCTGTATGTAGAAGAGAGGCACGGGTGGTTGTCGGTTCCTGTCCTTGCACCTCCGTAGACTGAGTGACCAACGACCCATATAGTCCACTCTTGCCTCAAAGTAAGTCCATGATGGCAACGATGGTGTGAAGAGTGGGCAAGTCATGTTTCCAGAAGATGAAGCCCAAGTCGAGCCTCCGTACTAATGCGGTTTGTCATGTCAGCTGGTCCGAATCAACAGGGTCCAGTTCTGGCGCCGGGTGGGCAGTGTCGAGATGTGCTGTGCTTGGTTACAGTACAGTAATGGTGGATAGTGTGTAATCCAAGTTTACAACCTCCTGGAATAACCGTGGGTGAGTGATAAATTTGGGGTCAGACAACCCTGATATGGGCGAGTGTGGCAGGGCACTGACGGGGTCTCTTCCAACAGCGCATTATTCCTTCGCAACGGAGGGTACTGTAAGATCGTCAGTACTAATGCTCTTGTAGCCAGCGAGGTGGTCGACATGCTTGACTTACTGGGCCAGGCAGCCTACGAGATATGCGCAACGGTGGCCGGAGGAACTACCGTGTGGCAATCTACAGTACTGTGGGCGTGCTAAAGGCGGCCAGACTACTCTCCACAGAGCGCCTGTGGACTCGCAGCTCTGATGAGCAGGGCGCCGGAAGACTCGTTGTAGCCCCAGCGTCGATCCAAATCAGGACACGTCCCGAACGGGCAGCCACGTACATTATCGTACATACATTGCCATAGAAGGCACTGTACCGTATCAGAGTGGCCCAGCACGCATACTGCGCACTCTTTCGCGGCGCTACAAGGTCTCGACAATCCTTGGGGGTAGGTCAGAGCTGTTTTGTTGGGTGGATGATTCGCTAAGAAAGCCACGAGCCCACGTGACGCAGTGACGGACGACTCGGGAATCTCACAATAGCAACACTACGGCCCGGACTTGCACTGTGGGGCGTTTTGACACAGTACAGTAAGCTCTTAGGAGCGCGGAAGAAAGCGTGGTCAAGCGCTCATCGCTTGCGCGCCTTTTCGCATCCTTCCGACACGCCGTGTCGCTGAACAAACGATTCCAGCTCACGCCGTTTCGAAGGTCGCGCCAACACTTTCGCAAAGCTGATCGTGCCAGACTCTACCACGCTCAGCAGCTGTCAAGGCGGCGGAACTTACTCCACTCCAGGTCTTCCTCATGGCGCCTCCATTACAGACCACCAGAGCAGCGGCTCAGATTGACTACGTAGACAGTGGCATCAGGGAGATGAGCGGAGTGCTCGAGCTGCAGGCGATGCTGTTATCAGAGCTCGCGCGACAAGAAAACGAAACGAAGGGGTTGTGTGAAATCAAGCGCTCCTCGCAGATTCGGGATCTCGAGAGATTCAAGGTCGACACATTTGAAGCAGTTGTGGAAATGTGGTTTAAGCACTGGAACGAGATCAAGCTCCCGTGCATCAAATGCTGGATGCATACATGTGCGGTTCATTAATATTTTGTGAGACACCTTCCAGCAACGCTAGTAGAGACTCACAGTCCTGCCTACTCACACCATGTCAACTGCGTCGCCCTCGATACTGACATGTGTGGAAAGATCACGTTTGCCATGTCGCAAGATACAGCGCCTCTATCCGCACGGCATCCGCACTAGCAGGACACGACCTTGCAGCCGCCTCACAGTTATTTATGGCTCATCCACTGTGGAGTCTGCGTAAAGTCGGCCAGGGCTTGCTAGAGGTTTCAGTCATCTATAAATAGCCGTAATATAAGGTGTGCGTGTTGTGTAAGCCATTGCATGCAATCGAGAATGCCAGTCATGTGTTCTTCACACCCTCGCACATGTAAGACAAGAGACCTTGGTACGTGACTTAGATAGCAGATGATATGTCTTCAAATCCAGCGGTGGCATACGTTTCATGGCCTGCGAGTGAACGACTTCGCAATGTCTTACAGCCAAAGTATGAAGCAAGCGCGGGTCAGCGAAATCGAAGAGGACATTGAGAGGCAGAAATCGAGCCATTTCCGTGGAAGAGCAAAGGTGCCACTTGAGTTCCTCTACTTCCCGGAGGAGCACAGTCCCCGTGATCTCAATCGAGAGTCTGTAGAAAAATTGATGGGTAAATACCGTGATGAAGGAGTGAAGCGACTACAGCACGATCATCAGATACCTGCAGTTATCGGGAGCGACGATCTCTCGAAAGCTGTCAGCCTTTCCGGTCTGTCGACTATCCAACTTCTGAACAGCTCCCAGGACAAGCCGCCCCTCTTGACGTTTCCCAAAGGCTTCCGCCTTATATGCCTCCATGGCAAGCACCGCCTCGAGGCTGCTAAGCTTTCGGGCTGTCTACAAGGCCAGGACAGGTGGTGGACAGTCACGCTGTACTCAGAAGGTACGCCATCTACTACCCGTTGCTTCGACACGCGAATTCTCTGACACAAAACACCCGCAGGTCTGAGCACGCAGGCCAGAAGGTCGTTTGTCGAAGGCTACTCGAGCAATCAAGAGTTCTCCGACGGGTTGATATTCCGCAAGCTAGTTGAGTACGAGACTGCAGACAACTACTCCAGGCAGCACTGGTGGTCATGCCTGACGCACAGCAAAAAGGACATTCTAGGCCGGATCTTCGCGCACAAGGAGTACAATGCTGCGCTGCGCAAGTTAATACGGCTTCCTGCGCTCTTGGAAGACCTCAACATTACTGTCTGGCACAAGATCATCGCGACGCGGAGCGACGAGGTGAGTAGGGGATACTGCGGCTGTAGCCAACATGTCTGATTCCATGAAACAGGAATTCTTGCACTACATTTCTCGTATACTCGCTACGTTCGACCGCATCTGCGGCAGGCAAAGACGCTTATGGGTCGCGCTTGACAGGGAAACCGTGGCGCGTGTGCGGTCCAGATGTCCTGGCGCATCGCTCAATGACTTGAAGTACCTGGAATGGCTAGTGCACGAAAGAAGTATTTTTCCCACGGTTGACGATGCCACCCGGCTAGAGATCTGGGCAAGGCTGCGCGAGGTCAAGCACCTGATCCCTACTCTAGGAAGCCTCCAGCAAGACTTCAAATACATAAGTGGCCCTGCTATGGCGGTCCGCAGATTGCTGAGTCCCGCAAAAAGTAGAAGAACGGGCCGGAGGACTTTGCGCAATCTCGCAGAATCGGCATTTCTAATAACGCGAAGCCATGGCAAAGTTACCATACAGATTACGGACGACTCGACACAAGAGATAGCCGGAGATGCGGATGCTCAGTTTGAGATTGGCTTTCAGCAACTCTATCTGTTCGCCGCAAGAGAATCATGGAGCCTAGTCAACGACCGTCCACGCAAAGAGCGGACGAGGAGAACACCTCCCGAGAGGTCTCCAGACCCTATTGTTTGGCACAGCTTCGCCCAACTTGCCCACACTCTAGGGTTCGAATCGTCAGAGATTCAGCGACTAAGACAGATGGACCCTTTCGAAGAGAAAGCCCGGCAGGTGCTTCTGGACAAGCAAGGATGGCACTGCGAAGATGCACGTGTACAACGGCTCTTGACGGATGCGGCAACGCTATATCGTACAAAGAATCACAACCCATCAGCCCTGCGACACGAGCCGCAGATGCTCGCCAATGGGTCTGGCGAGCCTGTCAATAGACGCCAAGGCCGGTGCTATGAGAACGCATACGATCGAGACAAACAACACATGTTCCTCAAGACTCTCTCTCAGCCCATCGATGGCCGCGCGGACTCAGTGACTTCGCTCTTCGTTCGAAGATCAGTTCATTATGCTTTCTTCCCGTCCTGCGGGATTGAGAGAGGAGCACCCGTTGTGCCTGAACCAAACGAGGGCACTGAAGATAGCAGGACCGGAGAGCAGAACGATGACATCGATATGCCAGACGCTGCAGCGATAAGCGGTAGCAGCGCAAGAGGAGACGATCTTGACGCCTCCCCTAACCCTGATGCAGGTTTGACAGAGACTTCACAAGAGGACGGTCCTTCCACACATCGAGGGGTGATAGACGATCTGGTACCAACACCAGGCACCGCAAGCATGGGTGCAATGAAGAAGAGTCTGGTGAGAAAGCGCTCTGCTTCGTCTAGTCTTCCTGCAGGACTTCCGCCCCCCGAAACTTCATCGGCCTTGCAGCTCGTCCATGTCGACGACGACCACGACGACTCAGACTGGTCGAGAAAGCGACCTCGCACTATTTATGATCTGGACACTGTCAACGGTCAAGGCGGTGAGCGCGCGAGCGGCGTCGAACTCGAGAGCAGCGGCGAGAACCAGATGGTCGTTGGATCTCCAAGCATATCGGCCACCTCTGGCAGGAGCACGCGGGAAGATGCGCGGACTGAAAGCTCAAGTTCCACAAAAGTCACTATCTGGACAAACTTCGAGGGTGGGGAATACAAGGAGCTCGAGGGCGTCAAATGCAACACTAATGAGGCAGTCATGGTAGTGCTTCAAGGGTTGGAAGCACAGTGCAAATGCTTCCCTTCGACGAACACAGGAAGAGGAATTGGGCATGATGAATGCTATGAATTTGCAACAAGCTTGGGGGGCGCTAATCGCGTGTATGTCACGAAGCATGAGGAGCTGTGAGATCGTCTTGTCTATAGGCTAAAATGGACTTTTCTGCATTCAAGAGAGGCAAGACAGCAGTGACACCCACAACTCCAAAACCAGGATGTGATCTGAACTTTAGCGAAGAAAACGGTGCTTTGGAATCGGTAATCTGGCGTCGCAGGGCAGCGTCGTAGTCATCGTGAACTGCATACGAATCGTGCCGTGTGCTATGGCCTCAACACATGAGCTGGGCTGCGACTCAACAACAGCTGGACAGGCACCCTCTTCATGCTTCTTCGTCTATTACAGCAGGTATATCTAGAGCTTGGCATGAACCCATGTACGTGCGCGTCGGAACGTACGACACGAATAGCTTCAGCTCCTCAACGTTCCACTTCTGCTGCAAGAAGTCGTGCTACGAGCATGTCAGCCTGTATCAGTATCACAGTCCTGGAAATCCTACCTTCAGAAGCTTGTCTGGTGTCCACGTTCTCGTTGAAGCAAGGAAATCCACTGCTGTGTCCGACCACTTGTGCGACGGTTGCACAGTGATTTCTCTTTTGCCATTAGCGGACTTGTACATGAGCATCATGGTGATATGTCCGAAAGCCTTCGTATTCTTTGGTGAGCAGCTTCTATCGAATTCACAGTATTCAAGTTTTGCTGTTAGCGTCAGCGCGGCACCCATGTCCCTGTGTTGGTGTCTCGCTTACTGATCTTGACCACACCATCAGAGTTAATGACGACGTTGTCGATGTTTAAGAGACTGTGGAAAAGGTTCTCTGAGCTCAAGTAAGAGACTCCAGCAAGCATCTAGTCACATCAGCGGCTGACGAGAGTTGCGTGTGGATCAATCTCACCTGCTTCGTGATAGCAACCAGTAGGTCTTCGTTCGGGTATTCCGGGCAGCGATAAACATGCCGAAGAGTAACGACCGCAGGCTCCATCACACAGTAGAACACTCCGCTATCTTCGAAGACTTCGTGCGTCCTGCAAAGATTCTCGTGAAACAGCCGACGCTTTCGGAACGATGAGACCTCGTCTTTTGCCACTGACAGTTCTCTGACCAGGTAGACATCCTTCCCAGTCGGCAGCTCAAGGACGACCTCGACCGTTCCACCAAGATCGCGCTTGTGCACTAATTTGTACCTGTGCCGCAGCGATCCAGTCCTGATTGGAATGTCGAGTCGCATCTGTGCCTCGACGGCCGAACTTCCGTGAAGCGACGGAGTGCGAACAGTCTCTTGGTCTGCCTGTACCGTGCGGCTTGTAACCAGCTCTGGGAGTGCTGTGATGTCGTCAGGCTGTGGAAGCCGATCACTTTCTTGGTTGCTAGCTAGCGGTAGTGGCTCAGGGCCTCTGTCGTCGTCGTCGTCGTCGCTGAAGAATTGGGTAAAACGCTTCATCTTCGCCGGACGGGAAAGCATTGGGGCAGACGGTGCACCTGAAGGACTTGGGAGCTCACTGCCAACAACTTTGTTAGGTATCCTGCTCGGCGCAAAAGTGTCCGACTTTGTTAGTCACTCACGTTTGTTACTTTCAAATCAGTGTCTTAGTAACAGCACTAAAGCTGCGATTTGAGCAATTGCCGATAGTCAGCGTCCTTTAAGAAACCAGAGGTGATCCGGATACGTGCACTGCTTGCCGAAGGTCTGCCTGCGCCTGTAAAGGATTATATTGCTGATGCAGAATGCAGGACTCCGAGTCGTTTCCTACCTGACTCATCCAGCTTCAGCAGACACGGACAGAGAGCACTGTGTCAGCATCCATATTAGGTCCGACCTGGAAGTCACTGTACCACAAGCTCCAGACTTCTAGCTTACGTAAACAAGCCCAATCACGGCGTAGCATGGTGTGAGCATTCAAGCTGATCCCACGCCTGTCTGACTGATACGGCGTGTTGTTGAGTCAAGCTACGCAGCCCATTGAAATCGGCCATAAATAGCCTTGAGCCTATCCAGGCTCCACAGCAGTACAAATCGGCCCCGCCCTAAGGATTTCTCGAGGGAGAGACCGAATGAGCCTTTGAGGAGAGTACGCCCTCTCTTATGGTACTACCACCGAGCGATACAAATGAAAACCTCCGAGGAAAAACAATCGCCTCTTCACCCTTCTCGCTACCCTTTGCCTTCCGGAACTACTAGCTGCACATACTCCAGACGGCTAGTCCTAGTGTGCAACCCAGTCGGAGTCAACAACGCCAGCGCAAATCACGCAAATTGGGGTCAGCCAGTTGTCGTTCCAGCTGTGCCATCGGCTCACACAACCAGATGGATTGGTCCGAAGACAACACACAGGCTGGAGTGCGCGTTCACGAAGCCACGAATAGGCTCGACACTGTTCAGTCCAGGCTTTACGATATCGACTACAGTCTATGGACGCATCAGAAGGATCTAGCGACGTTACGTGGAGCTGTACAAAAGATCCGACACTCGCTCTCTGTTGATGCTGGAGCTTACTTGCGCGGAGACGACAACCAAACGGTTCAGACCCGTCATGCCCACACAGACAACACGCTGGGTCATGGCCATTCTCACGCGCAAAGTCTAGACTTTGCCGGAGGCTCCGAGTCCAACGACCTCGTCAGCGAGCTGATGGAGGCCTCCAAGAGCAACGTCAAGGAGATCACGGCACATGTCACAGAGAATCGGCGTTCTACAGTCAGTGGCACGAATGCTTCTACAGACGCCGGGGCGTGCGGAGTAGCCGGTTGCGTAGCACACATCCAGCAATTGCAGTCTGCGGTGCGCAAGGTTCCGACTAACAGAGCAAGCCCGGCCAAGGGAAGCTCGGAGAAGCAGCGCGTCGGGCTGCGAAGAAGTCCGAGGCGCCACAGGGCAGAGATGAAGGTCGCCAGCTAGCAAGTGACCACCATGCGCGTTTCTAGACATGTTTTGTAATTCTATGTAGAATCGTTCCCTCTCAATCTATTTCTGACATCATACGAGAAACGACCATGAGTGAAGCCTCCTCTTTTCTTCGCCTCCAAACGACGGGGACTGGGCTGCCTGAGACTCGGCGCTTGAGTCTGTTTGCCACCGAAGTCCCTTGCATGACTCAAAGTCGAGCCAATGAGTACTGGCTAGTGAATATTGCTTCTTGCATTTGTTGCATAACGTCCGTCCCTGCGTGGCGGGACGCTACAGACACTCCCCAACACAACAAACGCAACAACAAGTTAGAAGAACAGATATTCTCGGAATAGTAGCCTTGAGCTACACAGTCTATTCTCTCCTAGTGTCTTCTAGAGATAGATTCTGCTTACCGTGCAATACGACAATTAAGTACAAGCGTTAAGCGACCGCCTTGCTTTGGCTGGCAGCGGGTGCATCAAAAGCTCCTGCATCTCGTCGAAAGTCCGTTAACATATAGCTTGTCGTATTATCATCCTACTCCGAGCACTGCGCTTGAGCTCGAGAGGTTGTCGTGCTTCTGTGCTAATTCCAAGTCCGCCTGCTAGAAGTGCCAGATAAGGAAGCCCCGCATATCTAGCTTAAAGCAGCCTAGCTGTAACCTATCGCTGCTGACGCTAGATCTGTGGCTGTGTGGCTGTGCAACATCTTTGCCAAGGGCTCTAAGTCCGGCTTAGATTGGAAGCAGGGCTGGCAAGATTTGAAAGCCCCGGCGTTTAGCACACCCAGCATCGGAACCGCAATCAGCTTCGATACGGCCATCGTGCAACTTCAAGATGCAGTGTAATGCACGACCATAGCTAACGCAAAAGCTTGCATGCTATAGAGATAACGATCGCACCGCTCTACAGCTCCGAAGACCCGCCGTTAATCCCTCGTCCGACCTCCCACGTCCTCGTGCTCTCGAGCATATCGCAAGCAACACATATACCAAACTGTAGCCCCATATCGCCTTTGCTCGTTGAAGAGAGTACAATGAGTCAAGAGGCGTCTAAGAACAGGGCGGGCAGGTCTCACCCAGCGGGCATGGCCAGGGACAGAGGCTAACTGGCATGATCCAGAATACTAAGATCCGAGTCTAGGCTTTTAGCAAGGGGAGTGGGTGTTACTGGGAGATCGCCGTCAGTTGACGCACACATAAAGGTGGAAAGGGTCAGCAAATCTTAGGGATACAGCTGTTGTACAGTTATACAACGAACGGCTTCCCGCATAAGCACTGCAATCATTAGGGCGGAGGATATTCTGTCTCTTCGCAATGCCATTCAATCCGGATGTCCATGGCAAGGGTGTGGCAGATGCGGGTTGGCCATCTACCTAGCTTGTGGTGGCAAATTTGCCGCACGTTGCTTTCATTACAGTGTCATAAGCATCGCCGTCAGTGTTGTGTTTAATAGACTACTATTACCGCCCAAGACATAGGCTTCAGAATGTAGCTATCTTCTTTCAATGACACCAATCAGCCAGCCGTGCATCTATTTCCCTCATGATGACTCGGCACCCCATGCCACTAACAGCTTCACCACCGCCTTGTCGCCTCCAGACGAAGCCGCGTAAAGTGCGTTGCCATAGATTCCACCTCGCGCGTTGACGTCGGCGCCCTTGTCGAGCAGCAGCCTCACCACCGCCTCGTGGCCTCTGTACGATACTGCTGCCTGGAGTGCGTTGCCGTAGTGTCCACCTTGCGCGTTGACGTCAGCGCCTTTGTCGAGCAGCAGCCTCACCACCGCCTCGTCGCCTCTGTACGAAGCCGCCTGAAGTGCGTTGCCGAAGTGTCCACCCTGTGCGTTGACGTCGGCGCCCTTGTCGAGCAGCAGCCTCACCACCGCCTCGTCGCCTCCAGACGAAGCCGCCTGGAGTGCGTTGCCGTAGTGTCCACCCTGCGCGTTGACGTCAGCGCCCTTGTCGAGCAGCATCTTGACCACCGCTTCGTGGCCTTCAGACGAAGCCGCCTGGAGTGCGTTGCCGTATTCTCCACCCTGCGCGTTAACATCGGAGCCCTTGTCGAGCAGCAGCCTCACCACCGCCTCGTCGCCTCCAGACGAAGCCGCCTGAAGTGCGTTGCCGAAGTGTCCAGCCTGCGCGTTGACGTCAGCGCCCTTGTCGAGCAGCATCTTGACCACCGCCTCGTGGCCTCCAGACGAAGCCGCCTGAAGTGCGTTGCCGAAGTGTCCACCCTGCGCGTTAACATCGGAGCCCTTGTCGAGCAGCAGCCTCACCACCGCCTCGTCGCCTCCAGACGAAGCCGCCTGGAGTACGTTGCCATAGACTCCACCCTGCGCGTTGATGTCGGCGCCCTTGTCGAGCAGCAGCCTCACCACCGCCTCGTCGCCTCCAGACAAAGCCGCCTGAAGTGCGTTGCCGAAGTGTCCACCCTGCGCGTTAACGTCAGCGCCCTTGTCGAGCAGCAGCTGCACCACCGCCTCGTCGCCTCTGTACGATACTGCCGCCTGGAGTGCGTTGCCGAAGTGTCCACCCTGCGCGTTGACGTCGGCGCTCTTGTCGAGCAGCAGCCTCACCACCGCCTCGTCGCCTCTGTACGAAACTGCTGCCTGGGTGCGTTGCCGTAGTATCCACCCTGCGCGTTGACGTCGGCACCCTTGTCGAGCAGCAGCCTCACCACCGCCTCGTCGCCTCCAGACGAAGCCACCTGAAGTGCGTTGCCGAAGTGTCCACCCTGCGCGTTGACGTCAGCGCCCTTGTCGAGCAGCATCTTGACTATCTGCTCGCAGCCTCCACCTGAAGCCGCGTAGAGTGCGTAGCCGTACAGTCCACCCTGCACGTTAATGTCGGCGCCCTTGTCGAGCAGCATCTTGACTATCTGCTCGCAGCCTCCACCTGAAGCCGCGTAGATTGCGCTGCCAAAGACTCCACCCTGCGCGTTGACGTCGGCGCCCTTGTCGATCAGCAGCCTCACCACCGCCTCGTCGCCTCTGTACGAAGCCGCCTGGAGTGCGTTGCCGTAGAGTCCACCCTGCACGTTAACGTCGGCGCCCTTGTCAACCAGCAACTTTACTACCTTCTTATGCTCATTCTTTGCCGCCAGCAACAGTGGTGCCTCGTCATTATCATTTGTGGCCTCTATATTGGCTTTTTCCCTCAACGACTTTTGCGCCGTCGCCTCTTGGCCATGTTGGGCAGCCCACAACAGCGCTGAGCTTCCAGATTGTTGTACATTGTAGCGGTAGAGGTAGCTATCTAGGAGATGGTAAAGGTGGCGGTTGGCTTGTGCAACGGCGTTGATATCTCTCTCGGATTCTAGGTATTCCGATATATCTTGGAGCAACTCATTTGGTAGATCAAGCAGTGACATTGCTGAAGTAGCACTTGTCTGCTTTACTAAATTCAAGGTAGTGATGAAAACAACCGCCTAGCAAGCACCATAAGCAGGTGTGAAGCGGGCAAAAAATTCCAATTCAATAGTAGGCATGTGTTGTGAAGAAAGCCCAAAAAGAGAGAGTTGAGGACGATGGTGGAGCAAGCGGCGGCAGGGTGTCTCGCTACGCAAGGGCGGACGTTAGTTACAAAGTCAGCGTGTTTACTTGGCAGCGAACTAAACTTCAACGAATTACGTCGTGCGTCATAGATGGTCAGCTGTCGCGGACTTTGCACCATGGAATATCGACCGTTCGACGTACAGCATCGTTTCAGCGGAGCCTAGCCGACGGTCAGCCAATTGCGACATATGCGCGTTGTCACAGCGTGGACAAGAATGTATGTGTTTACACTGATTTGCGTATTTGGCATCCGCGTTTTGCAAGGCGGAAGATACCCACGCGACAAGAGTCCCTGGTACGGCAAGCGAAGACTTTGCCTAGAAGAGCAAGCAGCATCACGTTGGTCATCTTGCTCCTCAGACCAGCAAAGGCTTGCTAGATGTCAGCACTCTTCTTGCATGTGTACAGTACCCAGGCGAGGCGGTGCTGACTTTCAGCGAGCTTTCGTGTGTACGCGTCCCCGAGTGGTCTGCTCGCTTGGTTTGTTCTCTTTCCGGCAAGCTCTCGGACCGAGTCAGCAAGGACCCCTGTCAGAAATACATTCTAATGTCTTGCAAAACCTGAAGCCGAATATGCAGATAAGTGTATTCCCTGCGAGTTCACATAGTTCTGCGGTATGTATGCTATAGATCCTGCCTGCTGTCCTCGAGAGCGTCACTGCCTTGACTTCATCCGTCCGCTTGAAGGCCATGCTTACAATGCCTTGGAGCGACAGAATCTCTCATCTCCGGCTCATCGTCAATATGGGAATGCAGACGCATTGAACCATCCTCCCACCCCAGGCGCGTGCACAGCACATTGGCACGTGCATTGAGGCTGCAAATCATCGAGCAAGACACCATCGTCATATTCGTCGGTATCCGAGGTGTCGCTAGCCTCTTCTGCACCGCTGAGTTCACTGCTGCTGTCAGACTCATCAGACGCATCAGATGCGTCTGACCCCTCGTTGTAAGAAGAAGCCGAATCCGAGTAGTCATCAGAGTCATAGGCATTCTCTGAGCTGTCAGAGTCGCTGCTCTGCCTGCTGCGATACGATAGATACCTGGAGAGCGCATGCTCGAGGCCAGACTCCGAGTCTGTCTCTGATACGTCCAGTGTCTTGTTGCTGTAAGTTGATGGGACCGCTGACTGGCGCGTATACAGCGGCTACTTACATATTCTAGGTCGAGATCAGAGATATCGCAGTCCGGGACCGCTTCCCCAGTGGGCTGCTGCCCTGGCTCGGTCTGCATGTTTTGATGGTGGACAGGCCTCAGCTGAAGAGAGTTGTTGCTAGGAATACTTGAATCACGCCTGTGACTGTTCTGCGAGGATACGCTCTGGCCTGTGTTAGATGGTTTATCTTATGTACTCTGTGTCTTGCATCCCCAGCGTGAGCTGGATGGCTAAAACGGGCTCAAATGCTGATGGGTGAGCATCGAGACGCCCAAACTGATTCTAGCATAAATGAGAAGACCAAACCAGCACCATCGACGCGCTAGCTGGTGTGCTGCTCTCATCGAAGCTCAAAACGGCCCATTCTGAGTAGCGAGCTATGCATAGATCCGCACTACGTTAGCTGCGCTATTGGCCTAGATCTGGTTTCGTTTGGATTCAGGAGAGGCTTGCAGCGACACCTCTCGTGTTGTAGCGACCTGCACCTTCGGCTTCCTTCAGGCTACAAGGGAAACGTCAGGAGCTTTGTGTGGTGTTATGTGGTTCTAGAACGGCAGATCGTTTGGCAGTCAGAGTTCCAACTTCACGCTGTCCTGTGGGACTTGGAGCACTCACTGCAGAGTATGCTAACCACTTGTAACGGGTGTTTGCAAGGAAGACACATGGGTCATTCACTGGATGAGTTCAGCAAGCTAGACAAGAGGGCTGCGCGAGCGCATGTAAGCCTCTCGAGCGTGCTCATAAGGCGTATAACTTAGGCCCGTTGAGGTATATGTAAATTATGCAGTACACATCTCGAACCTCTTACATGCTATGCGTAAAGTAGTTGCAGCATGTCAAGCCGGGCACAGTGACAGGAATGCTGGTTGCACGACTTCCTCTCCTCAATTAGTAAAGATCTTACAGACAGCAGACCGGCAGCTACTACATGATGTGTGTCTCAGCAGTATAGGATTGCATTAGAATTGTACGGAACGCTAAGCCCTTCGATCTGCAAACAGTGAAGATCAGAGAAAACACCAGACTCCCAGCATCCTTGACCATATGCGCTGCATACTGCAGGACATCGCCGCACACCGGAACCGGATATCACTTGTTATCGCTCGCCACAAGCCCTGCTAGACTACAGCTGGCACCTGGCCAAGCAGCTGCGCACGTCCTGCGCGAGGCTCTCGGGAATCAGCCCTCGCAGCTCCTCTAGGCTACCACCGGCGACAGACGCAGCGGGACCGAGCGTGGCGTTCACCACCTCTGCGTTGAGGCTGAAGAAGCCCTGCGCTGCCGAGCTCGTACCTGGGTTGGCTGAGTTGAAGGCCGCTACAAAGACAGCTTTCTGGCACCCGTTGTTGAACTGGTAGTGGATGCTGCCCGACGAGAAGGCTGTGGCCTGGTACCTGTCCAGCGTGCCGGCGACCTCCTGGTTCTGCCCCGGTGAAACCAGGCCGTTCTCGAGAAAGCTTCCGAATCGGAGGTCGGACCCTTCGACCAGAACCAAGAACTCCGTCGCCCTCGGGTGGATGTGCGGCGTGTTGATCCCGCAGGGCTCCAGAAAGGCAAGCGTCATGCTTATATCGAGATCAGTGACTAAAGGAAATGTCTCTATGGTCTGTGGGTAGCGGTCAGTCAGCTTCCATGGCAAACGAGATCTCAAGTGTTACTGACGGCCGACTTGATCGCGCCACCCAGCGCGCCATTGGCGGGCTGGGCGCCGTTGAAGTCAAAGACGATCAGCTTGCGCAAAGCTTCGCCCGTCAAGAGACTGCCGCCCTGAACGAGTAGCCGTTGGAAGCGCTTGATGGCCGTCGGAGCGGAGAAGAGATCGGTAAAGAGCTGCGCGTTTGGATCCGCAGTGGCAGCGGGCTGGGCAGCAGTGGTTGACGTGCAGCTGCTGCTGTGGGGTTGGCCTCGAGCAGCTCCGAGTACTGCAAGCGCGACGAGAGCCCGGGAAATGGAGAACATGGTGGGACGCTATGGATATAACGAGGTATCTTTGTGATTTGAAAGGACAAACGAGGGTGTATGGAAAGCACGGTGTATTGAAAGCGAGTCTGCCAGCCATATAAGTACCTTCAGCCACACTTGTAGTATCAGCCTGATATATCTGCCACGCAGTTGTAGTCTTCTGCAATCCGGTACGTGAGAGCGAAGAAGAGCCTGGTTGTATGAGGGCCAAGAACAGCTGCTGGCTTACGGGCCTGCATTCGTGACCCTGTCCTATACTTAGCAGTCCAGACAGCCCAAACGGCTCTTCTTCTAGCGCTGAGTGGTTGTCAGCGCTGGTTCTAGCGAGCGATTTCGTACCACCAAGACAGAAGACGAGGGCCTAATCGAGAGCGGGATGGAGGCGAGGCCTCTGTGCTGACGACGTTGCTGTCCATAGTGGTCTTGACCATGGACGCTCTCTTCATGCCCTCCACTACTGCCAGCTCGAGAGCAACTGTGCGGCCTAGAACCCAGCAAGCTATACCTCACTCAGGCTGCAGACAGCAGACAAGAGACCAGGGAGCCAACAGCGCAAGGAGCCCTGCCCGACGGACGACACTGTAGCACGGACGCACTCAATAGATACGCGGAAACACCAGCCAGATGCGGAGGGTCTGTGCGACGCTCACACTTGTGACACGCTGAATGAAGCTAGCGAGCGTCTTGTCGACATCTCACGCAAAGCTGACGATCTGCGCAGCATACTGATCGAGCGTGGCTCGCGGCTGAAACATGAGATCGAGCACCTCAAGCACTCCGCGCTTTCGAGACATGACTGTCGTCTGCGCGACTAGGAACAGGAGATGCAAGCAATGCGGTGGAAGCTAGAAGGGATGCAGCTGGAAAAGCGGGCAGGCTGGCGCGCGAGTGTGGACTACTGTAGCTACGTCATGTAACTTAGAAGGCGAAAGCAGTAATATTAGTCATCGCGTGCGACATCATCCTGCTCTAGGGAGGACTTACTTGTGCATTGCGCTGAGCGGACAACAGCACCTCAGACGCCATTTGCGGCCCTACGCTGAGCGGCATCGTAGTGTGCTGTATGCAGTACAGTAAGCAGCGCAGAGCATGGCCGCTGCGGAGCAGGTTAGTCGGGTGGCCACTATCCTACTCTGCCTCTGCCCACAGCCAGTGAGTCGTGGTTCAATGGTCGGCATAGCCCATCGGGAGTTACTACAGTACAAAACCACACGGGATATCGGTGCCTGCGAAAACATATGGACCCCCCCGGATCTGGGAGAGATCGTCAAGGTGACGTTCTGGGATTAGTATTAGAGTAGTATAGGGGTATATAGAGGTCAAGGATCGGGATTTTGAGCTGTAAATTACATCTTGTTCACTTGTAAACCTCTTGTTATGGGTCGAAAGCTTGAAGCAGGCCTTTTGCAGACTGTTCTCCTTGATCTTTCTTATCAACGTCTATTTAAATGGATCGCTAGGAACTGTAGTGTTGGCCGCAATACAGTGAAGCGTATTGAGCTCAGTCTTGACCTATACGGAAGCCCTTATCCTCCTAATTCAACCCGTTTCAGGGAGGCCTCGATTGATGGTGAGAAGGCTCGGGGAGAATGTGAGGAGGGCGACGACTGCAAACCAGCGTACTAATGCTATAAGATAGGCCCTGCTAGAGTACCTCCGTGAGAAGCCGACGGCCTATTTGGACGAGATGGTTGAGTTCCTATTCGACGAGTACACAACCTTGTTATCCTTGACGTACCGTCTTTGATTACCTCTGCCGGGCCTAATGGAGTCGAAAGTAGCTAGTACACTAAGGACCGTAATGAGCTGCTACGAGAGGTTTCTACCTATCAACGAGAGGATGGGATCCTATTTAGATTGTAGCACTTGATGAGAGTGCAGCAAATAAGCGAACTGCTGACAGGGAAAGAGCCTGGGCGCCCTTAGGAACTGCCGCAATTGCTCTATGCTTTGGCAATCGAACAGGAGAGTTTTGGTGATACTAGTAATGGACGTGGATTACTTCCGTGGGAAATGCAGGGAGGGCTAACAAGCAGCTCTTTAAAAGCGTTTATGGAGCACTAGTTCTCCTTTGTGCAACCCCTAGCTTCTTCCCCGCGATCAATTATTATTATGGACAACGCTTTAAGCTACCGGTCTCCTCAGTACACGCTCTCTGTGATGCAGCAGGCGTTCGACGGCCCTGTTGCCTCCTTACTTACTAATTACAACCCTATTAAGTAGTCACCCCAGGTGCTAAGAAACTGGGTACGGAGGAACTACGGCATTATAGAGTCGTTTAAGAGCTTTAAGGGTTTCTAGAGTACGGTATATACCGCTGCTGCGTTAATGCTAACTTTTTATAGCATGTATAAGCGTTGCTTAGGTACTAAGGAGGGGATGGGTAAGCGGATGATTGCCTCCCTAAAGTTTAAAAGTTCTGCCCTGCAGTCTTAATTCTGTACCTTTACTACAGCAGATATTTATGTTTAAGAGGTAGAGCTAATTAAATCATTGCCTGCTAAAGAAAGCTCCTGCTCTTAGAGGTAAAAAAAATTGCGTAGTTGTAAAGTTGTAGAGAAAAACAGAATTGCCCAAGAGCAGCTAGGCTGAACTATCGTAGGCCTAAGCGTTAAGCTAGCTGTAACCTCGTCATTGCGACTCCGCGTCAAGACCCCTGAGAAACTCCGCAACTATCTAAGCCCACCTAATTTACCCACCTAACGGCCTATGCCTCTTCTAACTACGTTAAGCCCTGTATATCTAACAGCGCTATCTTTCGCTATACCCTAAATCTACAACACTTTAACTTAGTTTTAATATATACAGCAATAATAGTAGAGCTGCAGTAAGGATTAAGGAAAGGCGGCAAGGAGCCCCTGTGTTTGGCGCTAACCTAGATAGCCTATTAGAGCGCGCTAAGCTGCTAAGCGACAGCTGCGCGATCCTTCTAAAATTCCTAGTGAGGAACTCGCCCTGTCGTACGCTCTGAGCTACATCCTTGTCTTAGCCTAACCCTGTACTGTTAGCGATATCATGTGAATATACTAATCACGTGCACCTATCTTCCCTGCCTGCCAAACCCGTAACACCCCTGCATTAGGCTTCCTATAAGTTTACCTCTGCGACAGCATACATCTACAACTACATACAAATATATAATTCTAAGATGAGGATCTTGTTTTGGCGTATGCTATATACTAATTCTAGAGGCAGAAATAAAAGAAAGACGCAAATAAGAGTTTGCAAACTAACGCCTTAGCCAGGTTACTTCGACCCCTTAATAGTATCTAATCGCTTCTAAAGTCAGGATTCTTTATAAGGAATATGTTGTGCCAGCGCAAGCAAATCTAGGACTAAAAAATCTTAAGATTTGCATAAGTAGAATGCGTAAAACTATGCCTTTATTTTGCGAAAAGCCCTAAACTTTATGTTGATCTAAAATAAAGAGACTAGCTTCCTGGGCAAGCTGCTCTAACACCTTAGCTTAAATACACTATAATCTAGCCTCTAGCATCGTTTATATACGTCTCCTACAGCAGTTCCTTAACAAAGACCTCTAATTGCTGCCTTATTTGAAGGGAGACATAGGGTTGCTGGAACTGCGATTCCAGTCCCTTACAGTTAACCACGAGTCGTTAACTAAGATCTTCTCCTCTACAGCTTAGTTTCTAATTAAAGCGATACGGTCTTTAATATCCTCCTTCTCCTTATAGTTGTACTACTGCTAGAAGAAGGCCTAGGCAACATGAAGAGAGAGAAATAAGAGCCTCTAAGCGGTACGTATTCAGCTGGTAAGAGCAGCGGCAGCAAAGGTCTGCCTGGGCTTTAGCGCCGTAGAGTCTCGTAAGCTCTCTTAATATTAAACTTACTTTATATTAGGATCTCTGTGTTGTTGTTATTATCTCTCCTTCTACTTCTTCGACGCTCTCTCTCTTAACGGAGGAGAGTCACAAGGTTCTCTAACTGGGTCTTGTGCTGTAGAAACACCTCTTTAAATCTCCTAATTCTATATTAAGTACTCCTTTGGGTACTAGGTAATAGTTCTCTACTCTTCAGGGCCCTCTTTCATCGGGTTTAAGATAACAACCCAGCAAGTATAGGGATAATTCGAACAGCTAATGCCCATCTCTACATCACCAATTACTTCTGTAACCTGCCCTTCTGTAGCAAGAAGCTTAGCTGCAGTAGTTAGTAATTAAAGCAGCTAACGGCAACAGTTAGGTTGCGGCCAGTACTAAAGAGATTACCTTAACGCCCTACGCTAAAGCTGCGGTCTGCTGGCTCTACGTGCAGGTCAAAGTCAACCTATATCGCCTTTGAGATCCTAGCTCGGTCTCTCTCCTCTCTCTTCTTGTGCAGAAGCTCTAGGAACAGTTAAACGCATAGTTGTCTCCTTTGCTAAGAGATTGTACCTGGAAGTATAAGGCTTTTGTTGCTTCTAGAAAGTATATTAATGCGGTGAGATCTTGTAATTGTATACACTAGTAAGTAGCTGCTCCATGATTCAGGCTTCTGCCTAGCTTATAATAGTAGCTGAGTAACCTTCTTAGAGTGCTGCGCTGAAGTCTCCCTAGCGGCTGAGAGCCTCAACTACAGTAAATACACGCTAACGACTTATGTAATTTACTCTAGGAGCGTTCTGGGCGTCCTGTATAGCTGGGCTTAAGCGATCTCTAACAAAGATACCTCTAGAAAAGCTGCTAAGAGCTGAGTCTTCGGTTATCGTCGTCGTAGATCTCATAATAGCTACAGTATCGCTTCTGCTGTCTTTATCTACTAGCTAAGCTCTAGCACCTAGCTGGGAGAGGTTCAGATACGGCTGTAAAGGTAGAGGGCGTCGCTAAACGTTTACTGCTTATATTGGAGATCTCTCCATGATCTTACGACGTCTCTTATTACGCTAACGTCTTTCCTGCTCCTCACGAGCTTTCTAGAGTAAGCGTACAACGCCGCGACATGGCGGGCATATTAACTATTATATATAAGCGTAATTTACGTCTCTAATAATTCAAATT